GGTCGTCCTGCTTGTCGATTGCTCGGTCGGCTGAGAAGGTGATGCGATTCTCTTGAAGGTCAATGACAGCTCCATACTCCTGCATGAAGTCAACACCAAGAATAACGTCGCGTGAACATTCACGGAGCACAAGGAAACTTGCTACAAAAGTATAACCGCAGACCCGAACTCTGCTTGTGCAGGTTCCAAGCGGAGAGACGGTGTGGCCACCAGCCGTTCGAATCACAGAGCCATGCCAGGGCGTGATTACCTTCTTTAGTAGTCTGGTCATTTTCCCGCTTAGTATAGAATAGTCAGCCCCGGTATCAACTAAAGCACCTACTGCATAGCCGTCTATCAGCACCGGTATATCCAGAGAAAGCCGCACATATCGCTCAGTTGAATCCACACCCTTTACTGTTAGCGTCGATCGGAGGTCCTCAGCACGTCGACTGCCAGCGACCTCGCCTCCAAGGGTCGCTTGCGTTAGTTTTCCCGGCGGGGACTGGGGGACCGTGCGCCAGCATGGCGCTGTGGCGAAGATGAAAAGCGCCTCGGCGACGGTGAGCGCGGCTGCCGTCCAGAAGGCGGTGGCATGCGCTGTTGAGCCAGGTAATCCTCAATGTCCCGGGGTCGCTGGCCATACCGAGGAGGCGCTGAATATACTGAAAAGCCGCGCAGCCCGAGGCGCCGGTATGGACACTGGCGGTACAAATGGTCCGCTTCACCGCAGTGGAAGCACAAAGGCCGGCGATCAGGAGTGCGCCAAACATCAGATTTCCGAGGCGAAGCACGTCTGTCGTCAAGGTAGTGCGCTGGTTGTTCCGCAAGATGCACAGGGTTGGCGTAAACGAGGGGTGGGGGCGCGCGTATGTTCTCGTAGTACCGTAGAGGCTGCGCCGACTGAAGTGAAACTGTAGGAGGTGCCTGAACAAACAGCGGGGAAGAGGAAGCTGGGCGCTTCAAGGCTTCCGCATAAGTTGCACGGTGGTAGTCAGCCGGGGCCGGTGTGGCGTTATCCAGACTCACAGGGTCACGCAGGGCATGATGCAGCTCGTCCTTGACGATACTTGCAATAGAACTCACCGTAGGTAGTGGTGGTGTGGCAGCCTTTTGCAGCTCCTCGCGTACTATAGAGCGGATAAGGTCGCGCAGACACTCGGTGTTGTTCCCAAAAGTCGTGAGAACTTGAGCAGTGGACGTGCTCACTTGCCTGTCATACAGGGTGGATTGATGCTGAAGCATCTTTTCCATCGTGACGGCTTCAGACAAAAACTCGGCGACCGTGCTCGGAGGGCTCCGTACAAGGCCAGCGAAAAGCTGCTCCTTAACTCCCCGCATCAGGTGACGCAACTTCTTTTCCTCTGTCATACCTGGATCAGCCCGTCGGAACAGGCGCGTCATATCTTCCACGTAGGTCATGACAGTTTCGTTGGGCATCTGGATGCGGGCCTGGATCGCTCGCTCCGCTCGTTCGTGACGATCAGCACTTCTGTAAGTGTCCAACAGCCGGCGGCGGAATTCGGGCCACGATGTCATCTGTTCCTCGTGATTCATGTACCAGGTACGTGCTCCATCCTCCAAATAGAAGTACACACGCCGTAGTTTGGCCGCGTCGTTCCAGTCGTTCAAAGCAGCCAAGCGTTCGAAGTCGACCAACCAGTCCTCGACGTCTTCGAGCTCGGTGCCATGAAACGGTGTCGGAACCTGTGGACTTTCGAGGGTGTACCGAGTCACCGGGGGGTTTCCCGTTCCTGTTAAAGTGGTTTGAACGGACGTGCTCATCATACTGGTGTGAACTGTAGGGTCAGCTTCGGGTGGCAATCCCCTGATCCTGCGGCTTGTCCGTTGAACGGGAGTGTGGACTCCCGCTGGGCTTGTGGTGCTGCTTCCAGGAGGGGTCTGAAACATCCGTGAGGGGCTACCCAGCACCTCCACCAATCGTCACGTCGCTCCAGGGGATGTCGACAAGGTCTATTGATGTTCGATCAACAGGGCTCTAACCAAGCGCGTCGGTTGGGCTTGTTTTCTAGAGCGGGGGTCCACGCGCACTTCTTTCTTCTTCGTGGTGTGAGCCTTCACCTTGGCATACGACCCACTACTAGAAGTAGGTGGCAATATGTGTGTAGGGGAGCAGCACAAGGAATGGTATCTTGTTGAAAGTGGCAGGAGCATGCTAGCTTTCTTGGTTTAGGCAACGTTGCATATTTACGGTTGGTATTTGATAGTTTTGGCAAAGTGTCATTCCCGTACCGATCCCCATTAATATAAAATCCGAAATTTACCAAGGAAACTGCATAGTCTGTATAATTACGTCTTCCCTAGATGCCCTCAACGTGGCTGCAAAACGATGATGAAGCTACGTGAACAATGTTCCGTTGAACCTCCCAGCGTTGAGAAGATCTGTTCTGCTCTGCACTGAATGGCCTTTACAGCAAAGTAAGAGATCCGTTGTATACGAATCACTGCTTTCACAATATTTCTGCGCACGAGCACACGTGCCTGCCGTTAGCATAAAAAAATGTGTTTATTTTTTACTGTTCTATACCATATTTTGATTTTCATACATTCATAATGCATATTCTGAGTTCAAAAAACATGTTTATTTTCACCATTTCAAAAAATTTCTTCATTAATTGTTAGCGCCAAATCTTAAGAAGAATTCCTAGCAGTGTATAATACCCCAGTTCGGTTGAATTTGTCCCGGTTCTGGGTCAATATCGAGGTCACGCAGAATTCCTGCAATCAGCTTTATATTTGGAAGAATGATACAAGTTTTTTTTTAGAGTAAGTTTATGTCACTTCATTTTATTCCCAGTGAACGAGCGCCGCGAATGCCAAGAACGAAATCCATTCGAAGCAGATACGAAGCTTTTACTTAAATTTCCATCAATCCCATTGTGGTTGGAGAGTCTGGTGGCCTGTTGGTACATAGCTTGAAATCTAGAAACCCAGCATTCATAAAACACATACACAAGAAGACAAATAAGACAACCACACATGTTGAGGCTTGTGGTTGTCATGTGTTTCTTGGAGGCTGGGTTCCTCGATTCCAAGTCATAGTGGTCGAAGCGCCACTCTATAAGCCTCACGTGCCCCACCTAGACATTTCAAAAAATTGATATGATCGCGAACACACAACACATTCACGCACTCACACACCCAGGCATCAAACATGCACAGCACTGTGTGTGTGTGTGTGCGCGCACGTGCGTGCGTTCAGAATTGTACAGCGTTGTGCGACTTTACCGCGCGGTGTTAGCGCATTCGCCGCAGCGTCGTCATATACAAAATAAGTATTCATGATATAGAAATACCGCCATCCAGCGGACATTCCAAGGACTAAACGAGAGGTGGTATTGCTGGAGTGGACTAGAGGAACGGCACACGCGCACTTTCTTGTGGCCTGCGCTTTGTGTCTAGTTCCCACCTTTCACCACCTCTAGTTCATGGCACTGCAGCCCAACCCTTGCTAAACCTCGCTAAAACAAAGGAGGTAACACCCAGCGAGTTTAACGTGGCAGCCCTTTCTGGTCATATAGTGCTGAAAGTGTGTCCTTCTGATATTAGTTTTGTTTCGTAAGCATCAAATTCAAGGAAAATTTTGTTGGAGATTAAGTCACCGATACTCGTCTCTGTAGGTTATTTCATCACAAACGGCTATCTTTTTATTTATGATTAATGTGCACGGGGTTCCTCTTCAATTCAAAAAAGTGTGCAAGTGCCGGTCCTCTAGTTCAGCCGTAGAACTGGCTACCTACTTCTATGATGACGACGACTACTACCACTACTACTACATACATCGTGGACACATGACCCACGGTTTAAGAAGCGTCGCCCCTAAAAAAACGACGAATTATGGCGCGCCAGCGCCATGCCGCTTTTATGGCGCGGCAGCAGCGGCGCACATCTCTACTCGGAGGGAGCTTTCGTTGAAAAGAGTTGTCAACACGATGCTCATGCGCACACGGCTTTTTTTTTTTCACGAGGCCAGTTATGTTTACACGAAAACCACTCTAGGTACCATCTCACTCGGCATTCTCTCAAACAAAAACCGCAACTGGGCAGTCCAAGTAACTAACTGTTGTAGACTCGAGTAAACGAGCTTTCCAGCTCTAATAAATGGCTCGTTAGATACTTCTTCCAACAGAAAGAACAAGATGCACACTTCTGTGTCAGTGCTCCTTTAATATTTGTCTAAAGCCATGCTTTTCACATGATCCAATGTAATTGCAACTTGCGTGTATTGTGTTCGAAAAACAACAAACTCTTCACACGCAACCGTAACTTACTTATATGCCACAAACATTGCATATCTAAGCCACAAATATTGCATAACTGTAGCCTGGCCCAATGAAACTTGCAATCGCTGAGCTGCACATTGGTGACAAGGCATACTAATCTCACTCATGAAACTGTATTCCAAAGTGATCATTTTTGGAGACATCACTTTCAGTGTGCACAGAGTGGCCAATTGAGAAAAAGCACCAAAACAGATCCTCTCAGGATACAGCCCCTGTATATTAGGAGGAGTCTGCAAGCTCTCAATTCATGAGTCGGCTGAAGTTGATAAAAAACTTTCACGAAAGCAAGTCGTGCAGCACAAAATAATTCAAATTGAGAAGATATTATTAGCAAAATAGATGCCACAGAGCACTATTTATTTCTTTGCAAGTCGAAGTTACAGAATCAATCTCTCCGTAACCAGCTAGACACACAAGTGGTATCAAAAATGGTTAAGAAGATCCTCAACAATAATTTGTGAGCGAATTAAATTAAGTAAAGTGACACGAAAATGCCAGCAACACAGTGGTCAGTGATACAAAAGCATAAGAATTCACATAAGAATGAATAGCTTTATGCTTAATTATAACGAAGGTAAAAGGCACATTTCATATATCAAATGCCTGAATAATAATATTAGCCAAAAGAGATAGCTTGCAATTAGCTTTCAAGAATCTACGTGGCCCCCCTTTCTTTCAGGACTGCACAAAGTAAAAACTTTGAAAAAGTTTCCTTGCCTGTGTCGTGCTTTCGGAGATGACCTTGAATGCTTCGAGGAAACTTTGCTCCCGGCTTGTGAAGAAGCAATTTGAATGAAGATCCATGGGCAGAGCCTGGTATGCAGACCGAAATGCATCTGGCACCCCACTCATGTATATTACATCCCAGCAGAGCAGGCCGAAGAGTGCATGAAATGTGGAGCCTTCACCATGGACTCCTGCAAAACAAGAAAGGGAAGCAAACCTTAGATTTGAACAAACAACGCTGTAACAAGCATTCTGCAGAAACCTTCAAGGTAGCGGCTCTTTTAGATGTGAACAATATCATAATGCTACATAAAGGTAAATCGGAACAATACAGTATACAAGCTGATGAAGACAAAACGGATACAAGTGCTGTCCATGCATTGCTCCGGCTGCATGCTTTGACCTGCAAGGCACTGTCGCAAACACCGTATCTTGACAAGGCTCTCATACCTTTGTGCGTGCCATTTTATAGCCTCTAGAATGAGTTGGAAGATAAGCTGGAATACTACAGCATTCAAGTTGAAGAAGACGAGACGGATAAAAATTTTGTCTATGTCTCGCTCCCACATCAGCTACTTGGATGCCCCAGGTGTGGTCACGCACTATCTTCACAAGATTAGCAGACAGCTCATACCTTTGCACATGCTGTCTTCGTCTTCTCACTGCCTTGTGCTAAAGCAATAGACAGCATGAAAGTCGCTTGGCTTGCTGCAGAAGTCACGTTTACTAGCGCCAACTTTTGTTGAGTCACGCCACATCGCACGCCAAAATGGTTAGTAGCTAGCTTTAGTTTGCATTAAAGAGCCAGTAAACAACCCTGAGGTCCAAAAATGTTTAAAAAGAGATATATGTGCAGTTTTTCTTTGCAAACATGCTGCCGCAAGAATTTTGCGAATACCAGCTATATCAAGGAAGTTACAGGGGTTAGAAGCTGGTTTCAAATTTTCACGTGGCCTCGCCTCCCTTCTCCCTTCCATTAAGGGGAAGGCGTAGCCCATCGTCGTGACTCCGCCCACTTCGGCAACGTGACGTCACGTCAGCGATTGACATCATTGGCAAACTCAATCAGTCGCAACGCACTTCCGCTTGCTGCTAGGCGTGGTTGTTTGTTTACCGTTTGCCGCACCAGCCGCGGGTCAACCGTGTAGGTGCGAAGTGTCGACCACAAACAATCAGGTCCCCGACGTACATCGCTGGATGGTTGACTCGCTTCAGCCATGCAGCGCGCATGGCCCCATCGTGAGGCACCCGGTGCCGATGCTTCTCCGCTGCCCAGTCACTCGATTTGCAGTCGACAACAGAGCAACGCTTTTTACCCATGTTGCTCATGCCGAGGGCGAAGTACGTTCGTACGTGTGCACAGGCGCTGTAGTTGAGCGAGGATTGTACACATGCACGCGACAACTGCGAGGCTGGTTCTTTCACCACAGTGCCAAGAAACAAGGAGCAGTTTCGTAGCTGTGGATGGGAACAGGAACTGACGTTGACTTCACTACTGTTTTTTCACACCTTATTAGGCCAATCGGCAAGTTGCGTGCTATGTCACGCCAACGATCACCAAGTTGACGTCACTGCGCGTGCGAGGAGGTCGGTGAGGCATGGAAAGATGCGCGGGAATTGTTTTTTGAAATAGAGGCTCTGCGAAGCACTGTAATATTCAGACGTGATCGCTGTGGTCTAATCTACAAATTGCCGAGCTTGTATTGAGGGTGCAAAAAAAAAAGTCCGAGCCAGTTTACTGGCCCTTTAAAATCCAATTTTTTGCTAATACTAACAAGAAGTTAAATCGAGCGCAGGCTTTGATTCTCAGACTACTGTAGACGTGTTCGTATCCCCGGCCCTGCCTTATTCCACAAAACTTAACCCGACATTTATCCTAATAGCTCCTGCTGGCACAGCAACGAATTCGCTAGCCTAGACCGCATGCTACAGTGTTGCCTCTCGTTACGGTGCAGGGAACAACCTAATGAACACAAGTGGCTATCCGCTCTCAAGAGCCCCGATGTCGGGGATCAACTGTGGGCTGTCCAAAGGGCACATGATGCGTCGCTCGGGCTTGGCCTGACTGTCCCAACGTGGGAGCTGCCCGCTGCATGTTGAGTCATGCACCTTAGGATTTAAGTTCCACATCTATTGCTTTGTCCTTGCAGCTAAACTGTGACTTTTATTACATTTCTTTTAATACTCATTAAATATTTACGAAAAAGTCTTAGGGCTGATATTGTTCATCCAAGACCTCACGCACATATTTTAGGGCTTGCACGTGAGTGGTCAAAAAAGTGAAGTATTCGCAAAATTGGTTTTGAATAGCTTCATCAGACAGAATAGTGTTTTTTTTGTTTTTTTTTTTTTACTAGTGGCTACCATGGCTAACAAGACCCTGTGAATGCAGATAACAAACAGACATATTGTCACCAGCTTAGATTTCACTGCACCTTCTTGGGTGTCTCCATTTATGTACTCGTTTCTGGCAAACACCCACAAATAAAAGTGTTCTAATTACTCAACACACTCACCTTTAGGGTACCCGTGCAGGTTGTAATGTCGCAAGGCCACTTCTTCAACGGAGATGACTTCCATGGTTGTTCCATCTCGTGCCGCAAACATATTAGTTCGTCCAGGCAGCATACGATCTGCTAGCTGGCCTTCGATTTCTACCTGTAATGACAAAACTGCATATAAACACTTGCAGTCTATAATACAGTGGCATCTATGACTATGATGTCTGAAATGAGACTGGCTAGATTCAGGAGAATTCCATATGAGACACAACAAACTCTGCAGAAATGTTCAAATATAACCAGGTGAAGGTTATGCTGTCATAAACATTTTGAGACCATGGAGTGCCTGCATGTTAAGCGAAAAGCTAGTGGTAATAAGGTTATCAACTGTGTCCTACTGTAGTTAATCGACTAGCTATTGGCCCATGGTCTTCTTTAGCGCATTATGTGGCGTAAAAACGTGGAATAAAATAGTGAGCACATTTCAATGGGCTATAACGATTATACATGTTGAGGTTTTACATCCGAAATCTCGACTCTATTATGAAAGATTTCATAGTAGAGGGCTCTGGAAATTTCGGTCGCCTGGGGTTTTCTAATATGCACCTAAATCTCATGAGTACACAAACCTTAAGGATATTGCCTCCATCGAAATGCTGCTGCTGCAGCCCGAGGTTAGATCTCGCTACCTTCGTGTCAGCTTACGAGCACAATGACCACTAGATCACTCCAGTAGGTCACATTTTTATTGGTATACATGCGATTTAGCTGCACACTTAATGATCACACACAATCAAATTCAGTCTGGAGTTTGATTTTATGCACCCTTAATAATCTGCAACACTGTCATCACATTAAACTCTAGTGTTCTCTGCCATTAATTGACCAATACCTTTGTACAAATACAGTAGGCTCACAGTAAACGAAAATCTCTTAAACGAAACTGCTGCTTAAATGGAGCAAATTCCTCTGATATGACTGGTTTCATACTTGAATGCTGCAACTCACTTCACCTCTCAATAAACGGAACTCATGCTTAATGGAACACATTTTTCAGGTCCCTTCAGGTTCCATTTAATGAGAGTCTACTGTATGCCTTTATTTGAGAAAATGAGAACATACTACCTGAGGTAGTGCATCCCATTTCTCCTGTTCCAGGAGAAATTTCAGTGATGGCAACACGTCCTTGGGCATCCTTGCTGCCAACGATTCGCCCTTGTGACCAAAGCATGACGGGCAGCAGGGCTAATGCTGGGGTCATCCAAGCCTTCATGCACAACTTTTAATGCCTGCGAGTGAGCGGTCCACGAAGTGAAATATTCAGTTACTCAGTGAAAAGGCAAACCTATGACATGATCATATAGAAAGGAAGAGCTTGCCAGTTTGAGACAGGCCACGCAGCACACTTTCTTGAGCTATTTTGGTTAGTACAATGAGCAACAAGCTACCCCATGGCAGCCCCTTGTCTCGCCAATCTGCACGTCTCTTCAACCTCGCTGCTCCAAATTTCAGATGGAGATAACTCTGTTGGTTTTGCCCCGATGCCTATGCTAAGAGAAATGGTCAAGACAACAGCTAGGGCTAGCCTTGCCGATCATTTAAATTAATTCGAGAAAAAACAACTGCAGGGAGCGTCGGAAACATGGAGGTTACAGTGTCTACCTCAGGGAAAATTGAAGACTACATTTTAAAATTACACAGGTTGCTACGAAGGATAACTGTAATACAGTTATACTGTACATCTTGGCAATCTCAAACTTCCTTATGCCCAATCAAGCAATCTTGTTCTTTTTCATTCAACTATTATTTCTCCTTGTTTCTCACAGTGTATTTTCTTTTCTTCACTGATTTTTTGTTTTCTCACAAAAACAAGCTCCTCTACACAAAGTAATTTATTTTAATTTCAATATGTTAAAGTTCCCTTGAGAAAAAATGTTGACTATGGTCACTGAAAGGTCAGAAGGAAGAAAGCCCTTCTCTATCAGTGTTTTATACTCGCTAGCAATCCCATGATGCACCCAGGGCAACACGGAAGCTATGCACAGACTAGGCTATGCCTAAACGCTTATGCGCACAGTAGCAAGATCTACGCATCAAAGCTTGTCAATTTTTAACCTATCAGCCCACTTCTGGCATACCTCAGTATATGGATGATATAATGATGCAGAAATGAAGATACACAGAACCATGCATATAACAGCAAGTAATAAGTTAACAATGATAAATTAGCTTTTGTTCTCCAAGCACACAAAATATAGAAAGAGACAAACAGGCAATAATGCTTCCCTCATGAATGCGCCCCTGATCTCTTTTAAGGGCCTTTTTCACCGCATTTCTGACCTAATACTGTCTCCAGCTGATTTCTAGCTTTTGAATCGAATATCTTGTTCAACCAAGTGCAGTACTTCTTTAAATAAAGCTTTTGCTCCCACCCTCTTTTTTTATAGATATACGTTTTTCTCAACTGCCGCCCTACTTATATTTCTTCCATCTGCTTAATGCAGAAGTACACAGCACTTTAATTCAAATGAACAAACTTAAAAGAGAGACGCTGCTTACAGTAAGGACTACAGTGCAAGGTAATTACTATTTCACTGAGTGACTCTATGCAAAAGAGCGGCTTTACCTCCGCTGGCTTGCCCAAATGAACTTCCAAGTTGAGAGCCAGTCGATCCCACCAGTGGCCTCTGCGGCTCTGACAGTAGAGCTGTAACAAAAATTTGGCCACACGCATACTCACCAACGCTGTCATAACAATTGGGAAAATAAAAGAAATTACTGTCAACTGTGTGTTATACTGTCTTACCTCAATGGAGCAACTATGTATTCCTTTTTTTTTATTACACAGAATTTAAAAATGGCACCAACATACTACACACACTCTAACCATATATATATATATATATATATATATATATATATATATATATATATATATATATATATTGAGAAACAATGTTTAAGCCTCCAAAACTCTTTTCTATTCACACTTGAGCCAAAGCCCCTCTGCCTAGGCCCATGCGCTGATGAGGTCAGAAGGCGAATAATATAAATTGTGCTAACAGTATGCATAGTGCTCACACTAATTGCCCGGCGTGACGAAGAGGCCAACCTGGCCGGGACTTAGACTTATGAGAGACGCCGCACAAAAGGCTTTAGATGGGAAACATAGACTATCTCCAAACCACGGTAGCGACGATCGGGAGAAACGTCAACGGGAGTGATACAATAGTTCACAGGGGATGTTTGTTCGTTAATATATAGGGGACCAAGGAATCCCGACTGAAATCCCAAGTGGCCAGCCGTTGGTCGTGGTGAAAGGACTCAAGGACCTGCACGTGAAGCGAACGTGGAAGAGCAGGAAGCCAACGGTGCCCATGATCATTGAAAACATATCGGTGTGGGACATTGCCTTCAATCTTGAATCGCTTGAGCTGCCGGCGCAGCCTGGCATTAGGTGGCGTAGACTTGCCACAAAGGCCGACAGAGTGTATCGAGTAGAAAACAGTGGCCCAGCAAGGGTGAGTTCTGATAACATTATTTGACGTGGTGCCTCATCATGATGTGGCGAGGCATGAAGACACTTGCTCGGGCTAGATGGTAGCGGGAGAGGGCAACGAGAAAGGTCGACGGTGTCTTGGTGCTTTTCTCCCAATTCGTACACGACGTCAAATGTGTATTCTTGTAGCCAAAGCACCCAGCGACCGAGGCGTCCGAACACGTTCTTTAACGATGACAACCAGCACAACGCGTGGTGGTCCGTTATTGCGGTAAAATGGGGTCTGTAAAGATATGGACGAAATTTCTGTACGGCCCAAACTACAGCCAAACATTCCTGTTCTGTGAACGAGTAGTTTCCTTCAAGATCCGTGAGTGCACGGCTGGCATAGGCGATTACTCTTTCTCGACCAGTTGTGTCACGCTGTATGAGGACGGCACTGATGCCATGGCCACTAGCATCGGTGTGCAGGCAGGTATGGGCATGCTCGTCGAAGTGACAGAGGATTGGGTCAGAAGTCAGTTAGGGTGTTAAAAGCGATGTCACAATTGGATTTCCAAGAGAAGGCTGTTCCGGACGCCAGAAGCTTCTGTAGTGACGATGCAATGAAGGCAAAGCCGCGAATGAAGCGGTGGAAGTAAGAGGCAAGACCCAGAAAATTTCGTATTTGCTTTGGATTGTCGGACTGAGGGAAATGCGTCACAGTCTTCACCTTGTCAGGATCTGTTCAAACGACATCTTTACTAATAAGGTAACCTAGAGCTATGATGTTCTTGCGAGCGAAATGGCATTTATTTGTATTAAGTTGCAGCCCAGCGTTAGAAAGACACGTCAGAACTTCGTCTAGCCACTCAAGATGCTGCCGGAAAGTGGAAGAAAAATTGGCGATATCATCCAGATAACATAGATGGTTTTCTACATAAGGCCACGAAGAACGGTGTCTGTCATACGTTCAAACACTGCTGGAGTGTTGCATAAACCGAAGGGCATTACGTTGAACTCATAGAGGCCATCGAATGTTGAAACCTCTGTCTTGTCTTTGTCTGCTTCATGCATAGGTATTTGCCAATACCCTGAGCAGAGATCGAGGCTTGAGGAATATTTAGCACACTGGAGGGAGTCAAGCGCATCGTCTATTCATGGCATCCGATATATATCTTCGCGCATGATATTATTTAGTGCTCGATAATCAACGCAAAATCGTACCAAGCTGTCCTTCTTCCAGACCAGCACAATGGGCGACGACCAAGAACTTGACGATGGCCGAATTATGTCACGTTTCAGTATGTTAGTGACGTTTTCCTCGATGATTTCGCATTCCATGGCAGACACACGGTATGGTCGGCGGCGCACAATGGAATTATCCTCCGTTTCGATACGGTGCTCTGCGACGGACGTACGTCCGACAAGGTTGGCGTCTACGTCGAAAGAACCACTGTGTTTTCGAAGTGATCCTCCTTTTTTTTTTTGCCACAGAGAGATCAAGATTTGGGGTAGCAATTAAAGCAGTGGTCGTCACATGGTCTTCGTTTGCGACAGGCGACATTGTTATGAAGGGGCATGAGAGCAAGAGGTTCCGTGTTAGCAAAGCAGGACAACCGGGTCCCTTGAGGGAGAAGAAGTGGCAAAGATGTAGGGTTACGGGCAGTGATCAACGCTCGGCTGTCACTAAACCTGAACAAGCTAGGGGCAATAATGATCCCACGATATATCAAGCAATCACATGGGGCGAGAAACACATCCCCATTAATGATCGTATCAGTTGTTAACGTCAAGACATTCTCGTTGTCAGGTGAAATGGGAAAATCGGCCGCCGTGATAAAATGCATTTGGCAAGTATCGTCATCAGATGAAAATTCCCTAGACGTCATATGAGCTACCCGACGATGGCAAGATATTATGGCCGACACTGACGAAAGGAAGTCCCATTCCAATATAAGTGCGTGTGGACATGACGACAGCACTAGAAACAGAATATGATGAAGGATGCCATTGATAACTCTCGCTATGCACCCACCGACGCGCCAGACAAGTACTGCATTGGCACACCGAAGAGGAGGTCCAGTATACAGCATCTTCAGTTTGCACAAACCGAGAACACAGTTCAGTACTAATGACGGAAAACGCTGCACCTGTGTATACCAATGCTTCAGTCCATACACCTTGAATACATAATAACAGGAAATTTGAGGGCCGCTGCAGAGGAGTTTGGTTTGTCCCGAAACATGCAGCTTTCCTTCCCAAAGCTGCACTTCTCAGTCTCCGGGCGGTGGACCGAGGTCAAGGTAGCTGGTCGTAGAGGCGAAGAGGAGTAACACATCGGTGACGGAGAGCGGCGACGCGAGAAACGAGAAGAATCGGCTCCTTTGAAGCTCTGTGGGGATGGCGAGCGGCGTTCGTACCGTCGGTAGGGTCGACTGCTTGGTGGTATTGTACCAGGCCACTCGTCTCTTTCACAGTAGTCGTAACCCCACCTTTTATCCTGTTGGTGGCGTCGGCAAAAGAGGGAGATATGACCACGAATTCCACAATAATGGCATACAGGCCAACGTGGCCGCCAGGAGTTTGGAGGCGGAAGTGACGGTTTTGGTGAGAGAGCAGTCATCGACCCGTGAATTGGAGATGTGTGGGGTAGTGTCTGAGAAGAAGTCGCCAGCGCGGCAACATGTGAATAAGTTTGCGTCGGTACAGGGTCACGCCTAAGGACTTCGATAGACCTCATGGCAACCAGTTCTTCTCTGATGATGTTGCGGAAGCTGCTGCCAGGCGACGGCATGTGGAGCTCAAGAGGGGAAGGCACAGCTTATGCTTGAAGTTCCTCTTGTGTGATGGTGCGGATCAATGCACGTAGCTTGCTGTCAGAGGGTGCGCTCAGATGAAAAATGTCAGGTTGCAAACGTAGCAGATGGAGCTTATCAAGGCGCTGACATGTTGTGACAATTTGAAAGACTGCAACGGGGTTCTGTACCGCAAGTGCGTTGAATGCCGCAGCACCAATGCCATTGAGGAGACGGCACACCTTGTCGGTCTCCGTCATTGAGTTATCTGAAGTTATCATGAAGTTATCTCACTATGAAGTTATCTCACTTGACGACAAAGGGCGAGGACATTTTCAATATAGGACGTGTACGACTTGCTGTTTTGCTGGACACGCTCTGCTAGCTTCTTCTTCACAATGTCTGAGTGAATGGAAGCGTTCACGAAAATCTTCTGTAGCTGACGTTTAAATGAGGCCCAATCCAGAAAGTCCAGTTCGTGATTAAAGAACCAAGTTTTTGCGACACCACTCAAATAAAAAGAGACGTGCGTGAGCTTCGCATATTCATCTCAGTAGTTGAGGGCACTTGCGCGGTCGTACTGTTGCAACCAGTCGTCGATGTCGTCACCACGAAGGCCGGCGAATACCGGTGGGTCCTTCTGCGGCATAGTGATCGTGCAAGAAGGAGGAGCTGTCGGGGCAGACGTCGTGCACGCTGCCGCGGAAGAGCCCTCGTCTTGTGACATTGCCAAGGTCGGTTGGGACAAACGGCGACCGGAACAGAGCTCCAGGAGAGTATTGGAGTTGAAGGCGTAAAGGCAACGGCAGAGCCAGAAGACTGGGTGACCAAACAGCACAATCCACCACTTGAGAGACAATGTTCAAACCTCCAAAACTCTTCTTTATTCACACTTGAGTCGAATTCCCTCTGCCTAGACCCAAGCGGTGATGATGAGTATTTACAGGTGAGAAGGCAAATAATATGAATAGTGCTAACATTATGCTGCATAGTGCTCACAATATATATATATATGTATATATATATATATATATATATATATATATATATATATATATATATATATATATATATATATGAAGAAGTTTTTCCAATGAGCCAAACGTACTTGGGAAGAAAAGAAACACAACTTAGGGGTTTTCTTAATTTTATTACCTACGGTTTCGACCTGTGGACCGGTCTTCGTCCAAGCCTGCTGGTGGGACTTGTTCGCAAACCCTGACGAAGATTGGTCCGCCGGTCGAAACCGTAGGTAATAAAATTAAGACAACCGCTAAGTTGTGTTTCCTCTATATATATATATATATATATATGACAAAAGCTTTATTTTTTGGTGGCATAATGAGCACTCACATAAGTGCCAATGAGTGGTGCCTCATTCAAAAATCATTGTGACTGCCTTGCAATTCCTACTAGAGTCAAACCCCTTTATAAGTGACACTGATATAAGAGACAAATGGGTATAAGAGACACCAGTGTACCTACCGTGAAATTCGGGTTCATAAGAAAATGCATTTGAGGTACCCTGCCTCTAAGAGACATCTCATATAAAAGACAAGAATTGCTGCCCGGAGCATGACTCTTATACACGGGTTCAACTGTACAAATAATGAAGCATAGTCTACTTTAAAACAAGAAACATTGGCAACAGGATAATAGGCTACTTTTTACGCTATTCAGTTTCTAGTTCCTCCTAACTAAACGTGAGTTAAGGGAGGTTAATAAAAAACTAACACTCTCAAGAGTAATAAACCGCCTCTGCCCAGTGCATGCAAGTTAACACTATGAAGTTATCTCACTTTTTGGCTTAAAAGGTCTCTGAGAACCTTGACAGCACGTCGATGTTCTTTGAGGCGCTGCAGCACATCCACACCTAAGCAACGGCACCGAGTGTAGACTCCACACATGCTGTAATGTCTCAGGAATGGTGTCAGTGACTGGTCTCTGCAAGAACATTTGAGGTTGTTCAAATGCATAAAGGCAAAAGATTAAATGTCCATGTTACCTGTCCTGGTATTCCAACGCTTCAGCGCTTCTAGCAAGCTTTTCCACATCATCAAAAAGCTGCCTAGCCTTATCCCATTTTCTGTCCGCAGTGGCTTGGATGAGCTCCGCCTCCAGAATTTTTGACGCTTCATACCTGTAGTAGAAATGAATGTTTCAAGCATGAACCACCACAATCTATATTTTATTTCCTTTCTGTTAACAAAAGTCACACGGCATTGTCAAGCCATAGCCCATACTACACAACAGGAGAAAGGTAGCGCAGTGAAGAATCTGGCACAATTTCAACCTTTTGCACCCCTTCTGGCACTGTTGACCCTTTCAACGTTGCTGCACCCGTTCTCAAGATTTCATTAAGATCAGTTATGTGACTAATGCAGCGTAATGATGACTGGTTGGGCCACAATGATTAATACCGGGTACAGGTTAAGGGCTACCGCATAAAGATTCACGTGCTAAAATATTCCTGCGGAAAGCTCGAGTAGCTCCAGTATGAGCAGCACAACCCTACATCCACCAAACACACACGTGCACACACAAACATGTGATTACCTGGTTAAAAGTGATTACTACTGATATGATTGAACCCCCCCCCCCAATAACAACCACAAAAACTTCGGGTCGCTGAAGGTAACAAGAGTGAAGCATCTAAGAACCCACACACAAGTCACTCATGTTGATAATAGGGAGGCAATAACAGCATTTTATCTTAAATACATACGGGATTCAACGCTGGACAGAGAAAGAACCCTGATGCATAGGACAAGCACTGCTCAAAACTAAGCCTGTGCAACTTCTCCTGTGCTATCTGACATTTAAGATAATGGATAGAGCTGTGCGAATAGCAAAATTTTGAGTGTGAAGCAGATTTGAATATTGAAGTCTGAGTGCAAATCATATCAAATATTAATAAAATATTTTTCAAATATGTCGACAAGAAAGAGGTTGAGGATTCCTAAGCATACAGCATGAGTGTTTCTTCTCACTAGAATGATAACAACTGCTGGTGGGATTGTGTTTCATTGTTGTCTCATCAAGAATGAGGCAAGGCAGAGTTCAAACTGTACTTATGAATATGATTTGGTGCAACCAAAGTGTTCCCGGCAACACTTACACGTGAAAGGCAGAGATGCCATTTCATCAGCTTCCCCTCCTCTTCTAAGTTCTGTGGAAACATAACTGATGTGGCCGACAAGGGTGTGCCTGCCCTCTTCAAGTCCAGAGTTCCAAATCTGCCTCGTAGACGTCAATATATAACATCTGAAACTCTGGGTGCTGAAAATCTCTGGCGTCTGATTTTCCAGGCTTCCTGCCCGAATCTCGGCTCCGAAAAAGCACTAATTGAGCCCCCACCTCTGCCATCTGTCATCATCACATTGAAACCAGTGTTTTCTTAAGTCATAACATTGCGACCGCAACAGAGCCTGAAGGGAGGCCTTGCCGCAATATGAGAATGTGATAGCATGAAGCGTACTGAAAATCTGAAGAGGACACTACTAAGCATACATTGACTGTAGCATTTGTCTTTGGGAAGTTCAAGTAGTTTGAATAGTGAAATTCTGGTGCAAACCAAATCGAACAGCAAGCACTATCAAAAAATATTTGAAATTTCGAATATTCATACACACCTAATTACGAAACAACCTGTCCAGCTATGTATTTTGTTAAGCCGCATTCCATCAGATAAATTGCGCACAAAAAATTTGCTATTTCACCCAAAGAAAACTGCCAGGCTTCTAATAAAATTTATGCTCATTCACTCATTGACATTAAAAACTTTATTGTAACTAACATTCACATTTTCTTTTTAGTTCTTTAGTGCACTTCAATGGGCAATAGAAGATCCAATCTGAAGAACAAAATAATATTGTTACGGGGAAGATTTATTCACCGAGAGCTGGTCTTGCTAACGGCTTAGAGAGCGCACAGTCAAGCAGGCCAACGGGAGAAACTCGAGAGTCCAACCCACTACAACCACGTTGTCGTCTTCTTCATTTGGGTGCCAATTCAGCTGTGTCGGGGCGACAGTTCCATACACGTATCATCACCCCGGCTCGTAAGGCACCGTCTCGGTGCCTGTTAAATGAGCGAGTCGGCGTTGTAGGGCTTCAGACGAGAAACGTGGGCTACTTCCGTTCTGGGTGCAGCAGCTGATGAGTTTGTGGTAGCGGCAATCTCTTAGGTCACAGGTGTGACCTGACGAATGACTCGGTAGGGCCCAGCGTATCGCGTTAGTAGTTTCTCGCAGAGGCCAACACGTCGAGATGGGAGCCACAGGAGAACAAGAGAACCCGCAGAAAAAACGGCATCTCTATGTCGACTGTCATAAAGAGACTTCTGTGCTGTCTGCGACGACGATAACCGAGCACGCGCTACCACACGTGCCGTGAGGGCGCAGGTGATTGCATCCTGAGCGTACGAGGTGGAGGATGGGTGGTCTGATGAAAGCAGTGTGTCGAAGGGCAGTAAGGGATGACGTCAGAAGAGTAGATAAAAAGGGGAGTAGCCCGCTGTTTCATGACGCGAGGAGTTATAGGCGAAGGTTACGAACGGAAGAGCTATGTTCCAATCAGTGTGGTCGGTAGATACGTACATGGAAAGCATGTCCGTCAATGTGCGGTTTAGTCGCTCCGTAAGGCCGTTCGTCTGAGGGTGGTAAGATGTGGTGAAGTTGTGACGGGTAGCACAAGATCGGAGTAGATCATCAACCACACGAGATAGAAAGTAGCGACCACGGTCTGTGAGCAGGTGAGTCGGAGCGCCATGCTGAAGAATAATGTCATACAGCAGGAAGTCGGCAACGTCGGTTGCGCAGCTGGTTGTTAGTGCTCGAGTGATTGCATACCGAGTGGCATAGTCTGTGGCCACTGCAATCCATTTATTTCCAGTTGTAGAAGTAGGAAAGGGGCCAAGCAAGTCCAACACCACTCGATAAAATGGCTCGGCTGGAACTTCAATAGGTTGAAGTAGACCGGCAGGGGGAGTCGTAGGCTTCTTTCGGCGCTGGCAGAGGTCACAAGATGTGACGTAACGGCGAACAGAGCGGTACAGACCCTTCCATAATACTCGTCGTCGAATGCGGTCGTAAGTTCTGGAGACTCCTAGATGTCCAGAAGTTGGAGCATCGTGGAATTGTCGCAGAACATCCTTTCGCAGGTGATGCGGTACGACGAGTAAAAGTTCCGCGCCGTCGGGGTGTAAGTTGCGGCGGTATAAAACGTTGTCTTGAAGCAGGTATCTGCTAAGAGAAGGGTCAGCATAACGCGATTGAAGGCGGTCAATGATGGTGAGCAGCAATGAATCTCGGCGCTGTTCGTCAGCCATGCTCAGAAAGTCAGTGATGGCTAAAACGCAGGCATCAGATTCCAAATCAGTGGGGCTAGGTGGATCAACAGGGTGCCGGGATAAGCAGTCAGCATCGCTGTGCAGCTTTCCAGATTTGTAAACAACCGAGAACGTGTACTTCTGTAATCGAAGTGCCCATCGGCCGAGTCTTCCTGTAGGGTCCTTAAGCGTCGACAGCCAGCAAAGTGCATGATGGTCCGTGACGACTGCGAACGGACGTCCGTATAAGTACGAACGGAATTTCACAATAGCCCAAACGAGGGCTAAGCATTCCCGCTCAGTGATGGAATAATTTTGTTCCGCTTGCGACAAAAGGCGGCTAGCGTAGGCTATCACACGGTTGGGGCCATTCCGTATCTGAGCGAGTATAGCACCAATGCCATGGCCGCTTGCATCGGTGCGAAGCTCTGTTCGAGCCGCTGGATCAGAATGAGCCAACACAGGTGGTGATGTGAGGGCGGTAATTAGCGACGCGAAGGAATGTTCTTGGTCCCTTCCCCAAGAAAAGGCCACATTCTTTTTGAGGAGATCCGTGAGGGGCCTAGCAATATCCGCGAAATTGAAGACAAAGAGGCGGAAGTATGAGCAGAGCCCAATAAAACTGCGAACTTCTTGTGTGGAACGCGGAACCGGGAATTCTCGGACTGCACGGACTTTGTCAGGGTCGGGTTGAACACCAGTGGCGTCAACAAGGTGGCCGAGTAGTTTAATCTGCCGACGTCCAAATGAACATTTAGACGAATTCAGTTGGAGACCAGCGCAACGAAAAACGTCTAGAATCGCCGAGAGACGAGACAGGGGGCTTTCGAAGGAGGGCGAGAAAACTATTACATCATCCAGATAGCAGAGGCAGGTCGATCATTTGAAACCGCGAAGAAGAGAGTCCATCATACGTTCAAAAGTAGCCGGGGCATTGCACAACCCAAAAGGCATGACCTTGAATTGGTAAAGGCCGTCGGGTGTGATGAATGCTGTCTTCTCGCGGTCGCGGTCGTCGACCGAAATTTGCCAGTATCCGGATCGAAGGTCAAGGGACGAGAAATAGTTGGCGCCGTGGAGGCAGTCGAGCGCATCATCAATTCGAGGTAAAGGATAAACGTCCTTCTTGGTGATCCGATAAACGTGGCGATAGACGACGAAAAAACGCCAGGTGTTGTCCTTCTTTTTAACTAAGACCACAGGGGAGGCCCAAGGACTCGATGAAGGCTCAATGACGTCTTTACTCAGCATTTTCTCGACCTCCGTCTGTATTACTTCGCGCTCAGCATGTGACACGCGATAAGGGCGTTTGTGGAGTGGACTGGCGTCGCCGGTGTCGATGCGGTGGGTTACGGCACTTGTGCGGCCCAGGGGACGGTCGTTGACATCAAAGATATCCAGGTAAGAAAATAGAACACCCCGGAGCGCCGCAACTTGGGAAGGTAAGAGGTCGCTGGATATCATTTTGTCGAGGAACGCCTTATTTTGCGACGTGATGACAGGTTTAGGTTTCGTCATGGTCTTAGTGTCAGGTGTAAAAGAACAAATCGAACATTCATCAAGGGTGGAAAGATCGGCTAAAGTGATGCCTTGGGGAAGCACTTGGGTCGACGTAGAGAAGTTCAGAACTGGAAGTAGCACCGTGTTGTTAGCAACAATCACTATAGTATGTGGTAGTGCGATGTGGTGCGTAAGGGTCAAATCAATGAAGGGAGCTACCAGATAGTCTCCATCAGGAACGGACGGGAAGGGCGACAGAGGAATGTACATAGCAGCCTGGGGCGGTAGCCGTAGAGACTCCACGGATCGTAGCCGAGTGCGACTTGGAGGAGTGAAATCGGAGCACAAAGGCTATTCGAGCCGTAAGATACCGGTAGAACAATCGATGAGGGTGGAGTGGGCGGTTAAGAAGTCAATTCCAAGAATGACGTCGTGTGGGCAAGCATCGAGGACTGCGAAGAGAACGGAAGTGTGGTGGCCAGCAACAGTAACGCGGGCAGTGCACATACCAAGCACCGATGTTCGACTTCCAATGGCAACTCGAACAGTAGAGAACATAGCTGGTGTGAGAACCTTTTTCAGGCGAGATCGAAGTGTAGAACTCATAACAGATACTTGGGCACCAGTGTCAATTAGAGCAGTAACGGCGTGGCCATCAACGAACACCCGAAGTAAATTGCGTCTTGAATTTGTAGCCGGTTGAGGGTTTTCGTTCTGAGTCGTCAATGCAGCGCCACTTCCAGGAGCTGCACTCGTCAGTTTCCCGGGGAATGGGCAGAATAAGCCGGTGACGGAGAGCGGCGGCGTTGAGGGAAGCGTGACGGCCAACCCTGAGGTGACGGCGAGCGGCTAGACCAGTTTCTCTGGGCGACAACGTCAGCGTAGGACGGTTCGGAGCGTGGAAATGAACGGTGAGCTGAAGGGTCCAGAATATGGTCATCCGGAAAACCGGGTTGCGAATAGTGTCCGCGGTCCTGACGGCGATCTACATTACGAAAGCTTGGCCGGAAATACCACCTGTTGCGGCAATGGCGGGAGATGTGCCCAACTCGAGAGCAAGAAAAGCAGATGGGTCGATCATCGTGCGTGCGCCACTCAGATGGATTTCGGTAGCGTGGTGGAAACCGAGGAGTCGAAGCTGCCGCAGCAACAAGTGGAGCAGAGTGGTGGTCAGCGTTGTGGACGGAAGTGCTCATGGGCTGCGGCATAAGCGGCATAAGTCTGGCGGGCTGGGGAACCTGGACGCCTAGGTTACCAAACTCCTGACGTACGACGGCTTGAATAAGCGAGACTGTTGCCCAGTTGTCTTGCGCAGGGGGCTGATAGGAAGCGGGTGCCATGGCTTCCAGCTCCTGGCGAACAATTCTTGCGATATTGGCAGGAGGCGCAAGTGAACGGGGTGCTGCAGAATCCTCGCAAGACGAAGTCGCAGCAGTGTTTGGTAGTCTCGCGATGTGGTGGGTGATTCGCCTGCTTTTAGCTTGCTCAAATCGCCGGCATTCAGATATGATGGAGTCGACAGTGGTGCAGTCCTTGCACATTAGTATATTGAAAGCATCATCAGCAATGCCTTTCAACACGTTGCTGATCTTGTCCGCCTCGGACATGTTTTTGTCAGTCTTCCGGCACAGTGCCAGTACGTCTTGGATGTACGTGACGTACGACTCCGTCGATGATTGAACACGCGACGCGAGTTCCTGCCTGGCTGTCATCTGACGAGCAACTGACCGACCGAACAAATCGCGAAGCTTTTGCTTGCATGTGTCCCAGCTGCTTAATTCTTCTTCATGCGTCTCATACCAGGCGCGTGCCGTACCCCGTAGGTAGAATAGAATATTTGCCAGCATAGCGTTTCGTCCCACCTGTAGTGCTTGCTGACGCGCTCGAATAATGCGAGCCATTCTTCGACGTCCGTGCTGTCCGTCCCGGGAAACGTGCCAGGGTCGAGAAGATGGGGGGGAATCACAGGTGATGGAGCCGGCGCGAATGGCGAGGCCTGAGTGCCAGTTTCAGGCATCGCGGCTGGACAAAATTGGCGTCCACTGCGGAGTTCCAGAGCCGGGTTGTGTGAAGACCCAGCACCTTCCACCAAAAGATGTTACGGGGAAGATTTATTCACCGAGAGCTGGTCTTGGTAATGGCTTAGAGAGCGCACAGTCAACCAGGCGAACGGGAGAAACTCGAGAGTCCAACCCACTACAACCACGTTGTCGTCTTCTTCATTTGGGTGCCAATTCAGCTGTGTCGGGGCGACAGTTCCATACACGTATCAATATTTACAACCATAAATCTTGGAGGTATCTTCATTAAAGGCATTTCTCTGTGTTCCACTTCTGTTGTAAATCAGTGCACTGCAGAGAAACTCAGCTTAAATTTTCTACCCAGAAGTGCCACTGAAACAGATACTGAAGGCACATAAAAACCAAAGCCACGATGATAAAATAAATACTTGAGGCTGTTTGAAATGTTAGTATTATGGACAAAAGCCTTTTAGTAATCGAGGTATTGAAGTAAATGTGGGACATGCAATGTGCCACTAGCAGGAAATTCTATTAGAAGCAACCTCACAGCATGCCCTGTTACGAAGCAGTTCCACGGTATAATTTTGTCACTAGTACTCAACCACTAATGATATAAGGATCAATCCAGTGCATTATAAGTCGGAATAAAATGCTAGCAGCATTTTTTTTCGATTCTTCGAAAAACTTTTGCTTAACATTGGCACCCTTTGTGTTCATGTGTGTCTTCATTTGTCCTGTATTTCATTCACACTGTGAAGAAACTTACTCATTATGCGTTACCAGAAAGACATCGATTGCTGGTCTGGCACAAACTTGCATTGCAGTCCAGTGATGATTTTCTTTCAGTAACAATTACAAATAACATAGGCTACACTATTTGGTACTGAGAGCACAAGTTTCCATAACAAAAGCCAGAAACATGTTATGGGTGCCACGCTTATGACATACATCATCTCTCAACAACACTGTTAGTGCGCAAGGTTGAAAATTTTTGTTGCCTGCATCTTCCCATTTCACTAGCTTCATTATTATGCAGCGCCTTCCTGGCTTCGCTTAATCGTGTCACTCACTCTAACTGCAAGTAAGAGAAAAGGGTTCCTCCATAAGATAATGTCAGCTCATTTTCTGGCTGTGTTTTTGCATTTCAGGCATGGTTTAGGCAAGAAACCGTTACACCACCTTTGCAACGTACTCTCCGCAATCGGAGGGGGGGGGGGGGAATTAGCTTGTGCTGGATGAATGCAGACTCTTCAACTGTGATTTCATTGTGAATTAATCTATTCATTGGTGCAAAAACACACCAGTAGGTTTTTGGAGTGGTATTTCAACAATGCATGCCGAATTAAAACTAAATATTTGGGATTAACGTCCTCTTAGTGTCTTTGTTGTTTTATAGGCTCACGTTCCCTATACTCGAGAAGCTGAATGCAGCTGCAGTTGCACAGCATAGAGTAAGCACACACGCAACTCACTACATAGTCGGTGTGCTCAAACAAACAGTGTTTGTTGGTACACAAGTAGTGTGGACGATGTACAGCTAATTGGGAGACCATAAGATGCAAACTATACGAAAGCTATTATACCATCTAGTCAGAAAGATGCACAACCATGATAAGAGATCACATTCAGGAAATGATATCGATCAATTTTATAAATGCAAAAGATACATAAATCAAATGGCTATTGTGAACGAACACAAAGCACCCACCTAACTAGGTCAAGTCGGGTGGAGAAGAGCTTGTGTTGCCGTGAAACTTCATACTCAGGGAAGACCATCTTTCCAGCTGCTACAAGCTGCAAACCATACCTGCAAATAGTTATCGTAGATCACAATGAATATATACTTAATATTACCATTTTACAGCTGCACAAATAATCAGTCATGAAGCCACTAATCAGCTGTTAGAGCGTCACATGTAGACGTTCAATCTCATCAAGTGATTTACAGAGAGAAATGAAATTATGCTGCACAATGTAATCAGCATGGTTCTGCTTCTCTATATAAATTATGTGATGAGTTGGGCATTAATTGGATAGTTAATTGTGATTTTATAATATTTAACTAGCCATGAATTGTGAGTAAGTGTAAACAGACAAGGACGTAGAAGAGAACTGACATGAACAGAACACTACTTTCAATCGAACTTTTATTTTCGCACGAGCCGATAAATATACGGTATACTGCGCAAGCGGAAATAACAGAAATGAAAAGAAGATTCTGTGGATACACATTGTTGAACCGAGCACGTGTACAAAGCACTATCACGACATAGCAATTCAGGTCACTGAAACAAACCAAGGTAATGAAACTCTGTTTGAGAAAGCAATACAGAATGTTGTCTAACGCACATGTTTGCTAATCTTGTGATTTCATACGCTTCCATAATCTCCCTTGTCATCTTACCAGGTGCCTTAAATAGAATTGCCATGTTTTCGAACAGGGGCTTGCATCCACAATCTCCAACCACAATGGATGCCCGTATGACCTGAGATTGTTTTTGTGACATTATAATGATGCTCTATCAATCTCTTTCAATATTAAAGGCACCTGGTAAGATGACAAGGGAGATTATGGAGACAAATGAAATTGCAAGATTAGCAAACATGTGTGTTAGCCAACCTTCCGTATTGCTTTCTCAAAAAATGTTTAATTACCTTGATTCATAGCAGTAGGATGAATATTTTGCTATGTCGCGACAGTGTTTTGTACACATGCTCGGTTCAACTATGTGAATCCACAGAAAGTTCTTTTCTTTGTTTCTGTTATTTCCGCTTGCTCGGTATATATTTATCACTTTGTACAAAAATAAAAAATCAATTGAAAGTAGTGCTCTGCCCATATCATTCTTTTTTCAATGTCCTTGTCTGTAGGTGCTTACTCACAATTGATGGATTCAAACCGGCTAGCTCACCAACATGCTTTAGCAGTTAACTAGCACTGTAGTTTTATGGATAAAGATTATTTGCTCATTTTAGGAGAAATCCTATAATCAAAGAATTGAAGTCATATTGACCCGTGTCTGCGTGTGAACGACAACGATGATGTGGGGATTTAGCAGACACCAAGTAGTGGGCCTCTGGCTTGACTCAACAACAAAGAAGATCTTGTGGCTCAGCTGTTGAGAACACGCTGCTTTCGCTGCCTCAAGGCGTACTTGTACTTTGTTCGCGTTGTACTGCGACACTGGTGGAGGTGCTGGCCCGCGACCCCGCCTGATGCTCCACACTCCCACGGGGAGCCGTTCATCCAGCCCAGAAGCTCTTGTCGACACTCCCGTGCATCGCTTCAGTCGTCGCTTGCGAGGCCTCCTTCCAGAGTTCACCCTCTCACAGGAAGACTCTACGAGGCACCGCCCACATCTACCAATGGCCACCGCCAGCCCACAACAGTTACTACGAGACAGTAGTTTGCCGACCCCATCTCAGGTAACCCTTTTTTCACCGCTGGTGCCTGATCGCTTTGGTGGTGGAGCACATGAAGACGTCGAAGAATGGCTTGATCACTATGAACGTGTCGCCAACACCAACCAGTGGTCTCTTGAACAAAGGCTTTCCCGCGCCTATTTCTATCTCGACGACAGTGCTCGTACTTGGTACGAGAACAGAGAAGGCAGTTTGTCAACATGGAGTGACTTTAAAAGAGGGATGATTAACACATTTGCCGATGCCGACCGGCGCGAACGTGCGCAGCATTTACTCGAGCTACGGGTTCAGAAACCCAATGAAACGGTCGCAATGTTCGCAGAGGACATGGTCCGTCTTTTCCGTAAAGCTGACCCGCACATGACCGACGACAAAAAGCTGCGCTACCTCATGCGCGGCGTTAAAGAGCAATTGTTCGCCGGACTTTTGCGGAACCCGCCAAGCACCGTGACAGACTTCATCAAAGAAGCAACAGCTATCGAACGGGCACTTCACCTGCGATGCCGACAATACGATCGCTTGTCCAGCAGCGCCCACATGCAAGTCGCCGCTACGACATCTGACAATCAAAGCTCGTTGCGCGACTTAATACGAGAGATTGTTCGCGAAGAGCTGCTGAAGCTGCGGACTCTGGTCACGGAACCACCCACGGCGTCTGTCGCTGAAGTCGTCCGCGAAGAAATACGCCAAGCGTTTTCGGCAGCTGATTCTACTCACGATCAGCGACCTATGAGCTACGCAGCCGCGCTTCGCCGCCCGTTCCGCCGTCGTACCGCCAGCCATCGACAGCCGTTCCTTGGTCGCCACCGCAAGAACAGACACCGCGGCGCCCTTCCGTCGTGCCACCGTATGAAATGCTGCCGTACGAAGAGCCGTCTCCCAACGAGACACGGCATTTACAACATTATGAGCCGTTGAGGCGTCCACAGCTTCGTAAAACAGACGTATGGCGCACCGTGGATAGACGTCCGCTTTGTTTTACCTGCGGAGGTGCCGGCCACATTTCTCGTCATTGCTGGCACCGCGCCGACACGTTTCGACCTCTTCGGCAATGGTCTGACGATCGACGCCCCAACGACGACTACCCACCACGCCGGGACGCTGATTCTCAACGACCTTCCTTGTCTCGGTTCCATTTTGACAACCGCCGAGCCAACAATGACGACGGTGAGCCTAATTACCAGCCAGGTTTGGGACGTCGACCACGTTCTCCGTCTCCGGCATATTCGCCTTCGTCGCGCCACCACACTACAGCCGACGCCAGCGGAAGGAGGTCACCAAGTCCACGCCGGGGAAACTGAAGGCGGCGACCTCTGGGGGTGAGGTTGCAGGCCGCCAAGGCGACGAAAAAAGGCCCCCGTTACTCTTACCACAGGACGCCGTAAAGCCGACTAGTTGTAACGTTGACGAAACTGTGACCACAGATCTTACCGTTTTTGTAGACGGACAGCAAGTAACAGCCTTAGTTGACACCGGTGCCGACTTCTCTATCATAAGTGAAAACCTTGCCGTGCGCCTAAAAAAAGTGAAGACTACGTGGACGGGACCTCACCTGAGGACAGCAGGCGGCCAGCTGTTGATGCCTGTCGGAAGGTGTACAGCGAGACTCGGCATCGGCAGCTCTTCTTTCGTGGCGACGTTTGTCATCCTCACCTCATGTTGCAAGGACCTGATCATAGGGATGGACTTCTTAAGAGAATATGGTGCCGTCATCAACATCCCGGACCGTTCAATTACGTTCCGCAACAGCCCTGGTTTGATTGACTGTTCAGACGCAATACGTAACACTTTACGTATAATTGATGATGATGTGGTCGTCCCGCCACGGTCATGCACTCTTGTTTCGGTGGAAGGGCACGAACCGTTTGATGGCGAAGGCATTGCCGACCAAATTGGCTCGCTGCTATTTAGCCATGGCATTTCGGTCGCACGAGGTATCGTCCGTCTCACTGGTGGGCGCACGAATTTACTTTTGACCAACTTCAGTACTGAGCGCCGGCACCTTCCGAAGGGCACAGCTATCGCTTCTTACGACAATATCGTAGACATGCGTAGCAGTTTATGTTTATCGGTATCAGACGAAGCGCCTAATCAAGAACCAGAACCCGTTCTCGATGTCAGCCCCACTCTGTCAGAGGATGACCGACAGAGACTTCTTCAGCTACTAGCCGAATTCCACGACTGCTTTTCATCGACCTCACGAGTTGGTCGAACACCTTTGACAAAGCATCGAATAATCACCGAGGACACGGCGAGACCTATTCACCAGAACCCTTATCGTGTAGCTTTAAAGGAACGCGAAGCCATACAACAACAAGTCGCGAAAATGCTTGAAGATAATGTAATTCAACCGTCACAGAGCCCCTGGGCATCGCCTGTAGTGCTAGTAAAGAAAAAGGACGGCACGCTGCGTTTTTGCGTGGACTACAGGAAGCTGAATCGGGTGACCAAAAAAGATGTGTACCCGCTCCCACGTATTGATGACTCCCTTGACAGACTTCGGCACGCTCGCTACTTTTCTTCCATGGACTTGAGGAGTGGATACTGGCAGATCGAGGTAGACCCAAGAGACCGAGAGAAAACCGCTTTTGTGACGCCAGATGGTTTATACGAGTTTAAAGTCTTGCCTTTCGGTTTGTGCTCCGCGCCCGCGACATTTCAAAGGCTTATGGACACGGTACTTTCGGGATTGAAGTGGAAGACGTGCCTAGTCTATCTGGACGACGTTGTAGTATTTTCAACGACTTTTGACGAGCATCTCCAAAGGCTGGAAGTTGTGTTACGTGCCATACGGTCTGGGGGCCTAACATTGAAACCGGAAAAGTGTCATTTCTGTTTCCACGAACTTCAGTTTCTCGGTCACGTCGTCAGTAACGTAGGCATCCGACCCGATCCTGGAAAAATTGCCGCTGTCGCACGGTTCCCAGTACCCTCCAATAAGAAGGCTGTCAGACGCTTCCTGGGCCTTTGTGCCTATTATCGCCGATTTATCGCAGACTTTGCCCGCATCGCGTCGCCACTAACTCGTCTCACAAGAGACGACGTTGCCTTTGAGTGGAACGAAGAACAGGAGGCTGCCTTTAATGACTTGCGTCAACGTCTTCAAACGCCCCCAGTGCTTGCCCACTTCGATGAAGAAGCCCCGACGATGCTTCACACAGACGCGAGCAATGTTGGTCTGGGAGCTGTGCTTGTGCAGCAGCAAGAGGGCACAGAAAGGGTAATCGCTTACGCAAGCAGAACATTAACACGTGCTGAGGCCAATTACTCTACAACTGAGAAGGAATGTCTCGCCGTGGTATGGGCGGTTTTAAAATTTCGCTCGTATTTATATGGCCGCCCCTTCAAAGTAATTAGCGACCACCACTCATTGTGCTGGTTAACAAGTCTAAAAGACCCTACCGGGCGATTAGCACGTTGGAGTCTCAGGCTGCAAGAATTCGATATTGTAGTCGTACACAAGTCAGGCAAGCGACATATGGACGCCGACTGTCTGTCCCGTTCACCCATTGAGTCGGCAACCCTACCTGAAGAGGAGGAAATGGCATTTCTCGGTGTCCTAGACACGACCGCCATTGCGCAGCAACAACGTGACGACGCTGAGTTGCTTGGCCTAATTAACTACTTGGATGGCAGATCTCAGAAGGCGCCAAGGGTTTTCGCAAGAGTGTTGTCATCATTTTGTTTACGGGACGGAGTACTCTACAAAAGAAACTTTTCGCCGACGGGATCTGCCTATCTGCTCGTCATCCCAGCAGCCCTTCGTACGGAAGTACTCCAAGCATGCCACAACGAGGTGAGCTCTGGCCATTTGGGTTACACGAGAACGTTGGCCAGAATACAGCAAAAGTATTACTGGCCGAGACTAACCACAGCCGTGAAGCACCACGTCCGTGCCTGTCTCGACTGCCAGCGACGCAAGTCACCACCGACTAAACCAGCTGGCCTCCTGCAACCCGTACAGGTCCCAACAGCTCCATTCTACCAGATCGGCATGGACATTTTGGGCCCACTGCCTACTTCTACTGCAGGGAACCGCTGGGTTATCGTCGCGACGGATTATCTGACCCGTTATGCCGAGACAAAGGCTATCCAGAGAGGTACAGCAGCAGAGGTGGCAACATTTTTCATCGAGAACATTGTACTGAGGCATGGTGCACCATCCGTCGTGATCACAGACAGAGGAGCCGCATTTATGGCAGCTCTTTTGGATCACGTCCTCATGCTGAGTGGAACAGCGCATCGTAAGACCACCGCCTACCACCCACAAACGAACGGGCTGACAGAGCGTCTAAACAAAACCATTGAAGACATGCTTTCGATGTACGTAGACGTTGAACACAAAAATTGGGATGAAATCTTGCCGTACATAACGTTTGCGTACAATACGGCAAAGCAAGAAACGACGCGCCTGACCCCGTTCAGCCTCGTTCATGGACGAGAAGTACGAACTATGTTAGATGCGATGCTACCGCACGAAGGTGACGGCATCGACCCATACGCCAACACGTTTACGGAACGCGCGGAGGAAGCTAGGCAACTTGCACGTTTACGGATTCGCCAACAACAAGAGTACGATGCAGGCCGCTACAATGCTCACCGCAGAACAGTCGTCTACCAAACTGGCGACAAAGTATGGGTTTGGACACCCGTACGGAAACGAGGACTTTCCGAAAAGCTTTTAAGGAGATACTTTGGGCCTCACCGAGTGCTGCGACAACTGAGTGAGGTTACTTACGAAGTTGTTCCCGACAGTTCGTGTAGTACCAATCGTCGCCAGCACCATCCAGAACTCGTTCACGTAGTGCGCATGAAGCCTTACGTCAGCGAGTGATTGCGTGAGACTTTTCTTTAAAAAAAAACTGCATTATTGACTTCGCATCGGGTCGATGCTCTTTGAGAGGGAGGCAAATGACCCGTGTCTGCGTGTGAACGACAACGATGATGTGGGGATTTAGCAGACACCAAGTAGTGGGCCTCTGGCTTGACTCAACAACAAAGAAGATCTTGTGGCTCAGCTGTTGAGAACACGCTGCTTTCGCTGCCTCAAGGCGTACTTGTACTTTGTTCGCGTTGTACTGCGACAATATCTATTATCAAAAGTGTTTGCACTCTGCTTCATTTCTTTCATAGCAGGCATCACTGCAAAGATGTCTCACTGTACATATTTTACAGTGAAGTTGCTCTTTATGTGTGAACTAAAGCAACTAGAAATGCTGACAAACAATTACGTAAAAACAATGTGCTCGTGCACCTTTGCATTTCTAGCATGCGACAAATGAGCTCCTGATTATGAGCACAAAAAGTGTACTGTGGTCACTGGTCATGGCAATGCATTACTTTGCTCAATTGGCTGAATCTAGATTGAGATTTGTAATGCATTCCATTAACTAGTTTCAGGTTTTCGAATATACTTATAGCTAGAAGACTTAATGCCTCTCTGAGTTACACCAGACATAGCTATGTTTTTCTTTGATACGTTGCATACACAGTGTAAGAAAAATAATTCAGGAGGGGGCCCACCGCTCCATGGAGCGTACAGATCATTTTCACCCCTTTCAGTCCCTCTAGGCCCCCATGTCGTAGCACCCCCCATGAAAATGCGGCCAGTATATGTACCATGGAAGATGAGCTGTATACGTAGCATCCGTAACGACTTTGCATTCGAGAAGATGCCATTGAGGCAAGTGCAACATTCGCAGCACGTGGCGTTTTCCTGTTGTGAAAAACGTGGCATGCGTCGGCATGCATTCCTAGCTCTAATTGCTATAGTGCACAGTGCTTGAAAAAAATACAAGGAGAAAACTAAAAGTTGAACGTGCAGCTGACTCGAAACTGCACTCGGTACATGTACTAAAGCTGACTATTATCTGAACGCACTTGTTGTTGCGGTGCATGAAGAGTGTCACAACTAAATTACATTTTTACACCATGAAGCCAGACAAATTTTTGCCCCTAACAACAGCAACCCTTACTTACATAGCATTGCTGCTAAAACTGAAATGAAGTGGCACTCCAGTTTGTTGATTACTAAAATATCCTAATAAACACAATGTCATTCTGATAAATACTTCAAGACTAAAAAGTCTCTTTTGGCAAAATGTGTCAAGAAGATATGCAAGCCTCCAACTCTGTTAAATGGGCACAACTTCACTACTGACAGAATCAACTTTTTGTTGTTGAGTTAATCAAAGATTATGACCTGGCATTCAAGTAATGTCCTGCTTTTTCGAGGAGCACAATGGCAACATCTTCCAAGGGTGACCTTTTTTTTTTTTTCTTTTCAGGAAATGTGATATACGGGAACCATTTATATGTGTAGGCAGCTATAATTTCAAATCTATGACCATCACTCACACTTGCGGGGTTTCTCCCGCTTCTTCCATGTCCCACGGAGTGCCCAGAGAGAAGAGCCTCAGCAGACGTCTCCATGCATCTCGTGGCTCATCACAGAGCTTCCACGCAGAACCAAGCAAAGCCAGTGCTCTGGCAGACACAAGAAAAATTTTACTAAATGCGTGCAGAAGAAACCTGCTTTTATCACAAAATACCACCTCTGTACGAAATTTGAGGGCAAATAGATAGCTGTATAGCCAAGCAACTCCAATTCACAGATCCACAAATGTCTGAAGTCACATTACGAAGTGATGAATATCAATCAATGAATACAATGGGCTGGTTCATCATTTCACTAAATGACATGCATAAAATGCAATAGATATTATTTTGCAAATTGGACATAGGGGAGGGGGGGGGGGGGGTAGGCCTACATTTACGTACATTTGTGTAGGTGTTTGTAAGTGCACATGTATGCAAATGTCTACAAACTACAAATTTAGGGGGCTGGAATCCCCCAAGCCCCTTCTAGCAACACTGATGTTAAATTTGTGCATTAGTACATGAACTGTGATACTTGCCACACCTAATATCTGATCCTGTCAGCTTAACATTTACCCAGACAGAAATTTGAATGTTATTGTAAAAAATGTTTATCACCGTTTTAGTACAAGCTCCTGAAGAGATGCCTGTTTGGAACTAAACAGCACAGTCTGCTGCTTGCTGCAATGATCCATCAGTGCGTCTGCAAGACTTCCTTTGCCCTGGCCAGTCGTCCTCAACTTAAACACTTGAGCCAAGGTCTTCAACTCGAATGGTGAGAGCAGGCGCAAGGCCACATCCAGGTCTTTCAAGCTTGTCACTGGTAACGGTCAAGCCTGTTGTCAGCAGGGCTCACAAAAAAAAAGCATGTTTTCAAAGCTTACCATCTTCTACATAGCCTTTGTCTCTTAGCGTTAGCAGGATTGGGGAAACATCATTAGCTATGTCTGGGTAACCAATTTTATACGTTCTTCGCCACATGTGCTTTCGCTGAAGAAGCCGGGCAAGCAGCTTCTGGCACTTATCTGCAAAAAGAAAATAGTATGCTGAACTTCCTCTGCGATTTTTGACAGAGCTGCACTTAATGTGAAATAGATTGATGCAGTTGTGGGACACTATCAATTCAACAAAAAAGTTAATATGTACATACCATCAGCTCCTAGAAACTCGCAAAACATTTCCTGTTCGTGCTGGTTGAAGAGATCCCAGTCATCAGTGTCTTTAATCGAATTAACTATCAATACGAGGTTCTCTAGATAGTAAGGACTTTTTGTTGTACTACCATCAGTGGATTCATCAGGTGGATCTGAAGGAGGCCGCATGGCTGAGTCCAATGGCTTGCACTGCATGTTCTGTCCTTCCACAATTTCTGTCTGCACAGTTAGTTTGAAGCCACTTGGCTTCTCAGACACGCCACCAACATTGGACAACTTCTTCACCGAGCTTAAAACAGTTTGCACAGTTGGCTTTAGTTCACTGCGTCCTTCATCACAGCACTTCTTGAGTTCTATCACACCACTTTCTTTTTTAAGACCTAGTTTATGGCCGCGTATCTTATTACGCGTAGTATTAACAATCGATGATTCTTTCACAGGGCTTAAAAGAGTCTGTACAGGCAGCTTTACTGTTCCGCATTCTGTGTCACGGCATTTTTCGTGTTCTGCCGGAACAAAATGTTCGCTACTGTGACACACAGGACTTCCTACGCTGTCCTTCTGGACATTTTCGCACAGACACTCCTTTAGTTTTTTATTTTCAGCATTTCCCCCAGGGCCAAGTTACTGGCGCTATTTCGCGGAGGTACAACTTCAACGATTTCCACGTCGCTGTCATCTTTGTCGGCAGGCAATGCCACGCGGCAACTGTCCAGTTTAACCTTTTTACTCTGGTTACCTGCGAATAATCGCGTGGATTTATTTTTAAGTGATAGTTTTCCACCCCTTCTTGTAGTCGATTTAGGTGAAGACTTCACGGGTCTTACTGCAGATGTTTTGACTGGGCTTGAGGAAATAAAGAAGTTCGTGATTTTGGACTGACCACCCGACATTACGAATCGGTGGCCACTGCACGATAGGCAGAAATAAATGCTTGTTCTTTGTTTTCACCCCACGCATTCGTTAAATGAAACTGCGTGTCCGATGTGCGAGGTCCGGTCGATGTGCCCACTCATTCAACGCTGACTCCAACAGCTCAAATTTGGCACCGACACCACTTGAATGGTCGCACTCAGAGCAGAACCGGATTTCCATGTGTTTCCCATAAGGCGAAAACAACATACGACAAGCGAACAGTCCACAAATATCACACTTGCAAACTTTTACGCGCACTTGCACACACTTTTAAAGAAACACAATAGGTAGAGAGATGAGGTAACTAAAAACGTGAAGGCAGTGAGTATGATGGCGGCATGTCACCTACCGAAACCACCATCAACAGCTTGCCTTAGTTTGTCTATTGTGTATTAGCCCTCGCTTTCGTCTGCTGGTAAACATGGCTACGCCCAAAGTTCTGAAGATGCTTGAGGAGCGAGTTGAAAAGCTAGAACGGCGAGTGATAGACTGCGACCCCACGAAGGAACCGCCCAACAAATCTAGCATAACGGTAACGTTTCAACGCGTTCAACTAGTTTCATTTTTTGTCGCTAACCGCTGTGGTTTCAGGAAGTGCTACTGAACGTTCACACGAAAATCCAGGCTGCCGTCGCGTCTCGGGAGAAGCTGTCGGTGCTCAAAAAAAGTACGTAATTACGGGCTCTCGATACTTCTTTAGTCAAAACGGCTAGACTTTCACCATATGTGTGGATTTCTTAAAGCTGACGAGCTCGACAGATACCTGGACGCCGAATTCCAGGACCGTGCTGATTTGACAGAGGGTGCCAAGCTCCAGCTCATTCTGGCAGGTACGTCCCGATTGCCAAAAGAAATTCGCGCTCTGTCTTGAAAGACTGTAGTCTAGGTTGTAAAGGAACTATAGTGCATTCAATCAACTAATATAAAGAGCCCTTCCGTCCGCACTTTTCGCTATTCAGGAAGAAAAACATTGCATGCAATCTTGCCGAAACAATGCCCAATTTATGGCGTAGATGTTTGTTTTAAGGGGTTTCAATTACTTCGAAACATTGCCGGCACGTTACCAGCCTGCTCTAGATAAACATGCGAGTGTCACGCGGTACAATTCGATCGAGATCGAGTTTCCTGATCGTGGTTGGCGCATGTGCGTGATTAAAGCGCAGGAGAGGGTCCATCATGGTGTAGAAACGCAATTCAGATCGCAGCTTCGTCGCGATCGAAAGTGCCCATCTCAGACACATGGTTTGGAAATGTCACCCACAGTATTAGCTTCGGCATTAACGGTGCTATGCTTCTTTTTATTTGTTTTGTTTTTCCCCGTCTGTGTGCTGTACGCTTCCGACATGCAAATCCTACTAGCCCACCAAGCCATCCTCGTGAAATACCCAAAACTTGCCTGACATTTCGTGATGCAGGTTGTTCTCTCTCTCCTAAAGTACCTAACTGCGAAAGCAGAGGCACACAATTTTTCAGTGCTTCCAGTGGGCTTTACACTAATCGTAATCTTTACATGGGCGGGTTCGATTCCCGGCTGCGGCGGCTGCATTTCCGATGGAGGCGGAAATGTTGTAGGCCCGTGTGGTCAGATTTGGGTGCACGTTAAAGAACCCCAGGTGGTCTAAATTTCCGGAGCCCTCCACTACGGCGTCTCTCATAATCATATGGTGGTTTTGGGACGTTAAACCCCATATATCAATCAATCAATCTTTACATGGGAAGCAAATTGAACTAATGTGGAAGTTTTATTCTAGAACCATTTGTTGCTTTTGACCAGGCATAAAAGTCTTGAAAGAGCAGGTTCCTTGGCAGTAGAACAATTTAAATTTTAGCAAGTTTTAGATAGTGTGGTCACAGTTCTGCTGTAGTAGTATTTACATATCTTGTGCATATTATATTGTAATGAGAAAGGAAGGGAGAAAATGAGGTTGTTTGTCTCATGGGAGGACATTGACTAGTGTGACCAAAGCCCATGTAGGCAGTTAGTGAGATGTAACTAAGAGAAATAAAACATGGAAAGCGCAGCTCTCACACTGTCTCAAAGGCTCTACAAGCATGTGGTAGCTAGAAACCTCATTATAGTTCAGTCGCAGATTTAGTTACCTGCTTAGTGGCCTGTCTGCATCTTACAAAGTATCATGTGCTGCAGAGTTTAGGTGCTCTACAGTCACATATAACTTGAGATGTCTGGAGAAACTCCACTGATGCGGTTGAAGCGCAGCAGCCAATCAGCTCCACGACCAGAGAAACAGTCCCACTTGTGCACTCGCCAATATCCTCTCAAGGCGAGGTCACCAAATGTTTGGCTCATCACGTCAGCCTGGAGTGTGCACCTTTTGGGGCAGGCTTGTCTGCATCCACCTTTGAGGAGAAAAGTCCGTAGAATTCTGGAGTTGTATTCGACTATAGAGCTGTGAACTCTGCTAGTTTCTCCCAACCTTGAATTCTGTTCATTGCGTAGAAAGAGTTCTCTATGTAGCAGTACTGTGTAACAGATACATACAATGTTATTTCAACATTGAGATCATTTTTATTGTCACTTTAAGAATCTTCATAGTCTAGCTTAAGGCAAAGAACAAGCATGTGCTATATCACTTTCCAGAGGAAGACAGAATTCGACAAGTGATTGCTGCCTACCAAAGAATGGAGGATCTCAAGCCAGTCCTTGACAGTACTCACATCAAAGGTAATAGAGACAGATGCACTTCACCTTATCCCTTTTTTAAAACACATTTATTTCTTTTTAGATGCACCAACTCACATTGGCAAGGTATCAGCACTTGCAACTATTCAACTTGAGCAACAGGTATGTAAAATTCATAATTGTTTGCATTTGACAGATGTCTTTGAGTTCAAAGTTGCAGCTTCCGTGAGTTTTCTTTTGTCATCTCTCATTGAACATTGGCTGTTGTGTTTTTCTATAATTGAGTAATGGTACTTAAGGTACTACTATTTAATTATAATTCATGCAAGAAATAAATAAATAAAAATTGGGGCAGCTATGCACTAGTGTGGTGCGGAGACTGTAGAAACAGTGGAGCTAGTGGCCTTCCCCTCCTTCTCTCCCTCACCTCTCTTTCCCACCTCCTTGCTATATGTTACGACACATGACTATGTTATGCTTTTTATCCCATTCTCCCTCACTGTATGTGTTTATTTCTCTCTCTGTTTCTGTCTTTAATTTTTCTTCCTTTTTATTAAGGTGAAAGCTGCTTTGGGTGTGGGTCGTTCCCTTCTCTGTAATATGTATGTAGCCACCTCTATGAATTGCTCAATATATGGTGTTGTGTGTATATCTTTGAAAATAGTATCACTAGATGGCGTTAGTGATTCTCGTATTGTTGATGGTTTTGTATAGTTGATGGATGGACAGACAGACGCTTCGCCCCACTCATAGTTCACTCTGTCGATATGCTGTGACTTTTTTTTCTCACTTTTCTCTTCTCATTATGTTGCCCATGGCAATACAATCATATGGTTCGCAAGAATGCTTGTTCTGCTACTGTGCTTGGGATAGCCATGTCATTACAATGCTCGCCTTCAGACCGTTGGCACCTGTGTTCGAATCCCGCCTCGCCAAGTAATTAATTAACAAAGAAGCTCTTTAGCGAATTGTTCCTTGCGAGTCTTCAGAAAATTATCACAAGCGGTTATGTGCCACTGAAATTGGGTAAATCCCACTGCTTGCCATTGATTCACTGAAAATGAAGAAGGCAACAGTTAGCCCATCAAATGGCTTCGGAGTTGCAGTGCTGAGTTAAAGACTTCGAGTATGTAGAGCAAGAGAATACTATGCAAGGGCTACAGCAGCTGGGAGAAGACCTCAAAACAGTCACACATACGGCACATGCCTGTGCCGCGTGTGTGACTAGCTGTGCTTTACCTCTAAACTCTCCACTGAGAATCACCGTAGAAACAGCCTAGCATCGCCTAGCTAAGACCTAGAAACAACCCGCAAGCAACCAGATTAGTCTTCTCAATTGTCCAGTTTCACTGTTTCAAGACTTGCGCGGCTGAGCCCAAACTTTGCCTATTTATTTTGTTTTATAATTTCTTCTCCTCTTCACTCTTCATCCCCTCTCATCCTCCTTTTCTTCCTTAAACATCAAGCAGAGTTTTTGCACGAAGGGCCCCGCAATACTTTCACAAGCAATTAATAAATTACTTCGTTAAAGGAGTGTCTTGCCTCACGAATCTACTGCCGCAAAATATTTAGAATTGGGCAAGTACTAGCAGAGTTACAGGGGTTTGTTACGGACTTCAAGCACTTTCGCTCTCCTTTCGTACCAGTGAGTGTGCTGAAGGTTACATGGAGGGATGGGGGAGGGGGTGACAAGGGTGCAAGAAGCTACGTTTATTCATTTATCAGCACGTGTCATGACTTTGAGTGCTTTCTTTTATTTATTTTTTCTTCAGATGCAGTAACTATTTAGCTCACGATTCTCAAGTCAACCAATGGCGGTATACTTTCTGTTTTGTGTGTGGCGATTTGGGTTTATGGCATCGCATGTCAAATCAAGAGCGAGCTATGTTCAGCTTACTTTGAGACTTACTTGTCAGTTCCAGTCCACGTGCTACTGTGTAATGTTTGGCTCACGTGTTCTCAGGAGCCTCGACTACCACTCCGCAGGGTTTTCTGACTGAAAAGTGTTGCAGGGCCCCTTTAACGCCCGCCTTTCTGTTTCTTCTGGTTACTTGCGTCGGCGCTCCTCCTTTTACTAGACCATACCGAATTGTCCAACATTACATTCTCCTTCCCCATCGCTGCCTTTCTCTAATATCTTCGCCTTCCCTCTCACCTGCTGTACGCAGTGTCGAAGCTGCCCAATTCCTGCGGTGCATACCTGCCCAAGTTTTCATGTATGCATCGCACACTTATTCCAAGCTTTAAACTGATGCACTGTTTATACTGTGTAGAGCTACTGGTCACATGACCGCTACTTACCGGCTGCTTGCGTGCGGAGTTTGTTTACAACATTTCAAGCGATTCAACCTGTTTTGCGTAGAATTTTTACATTTTAGTGTGCAATGACTCCAAGCCGTTTTGTTTTGCTTTAGGAACAGGCTGATGAGCAGACCAGGAACTTGCACCACCTTTTGGCAACTTACAATGATCTGGTATGCATTAATTCTTTCTGCCTCTAACTAGATTACTGGTAAAGTTTCAAACTAAAGTACAACTATTTGAAATGTAGCGACACAAAAGTATAATTCACAATGAACAATCATTTAGTGCAAGCAGCTTGCCTGAGCCACATATTGCATCACATAGTTGTAGGCCATTTTTTTGCCCATCAATAATTAGAGAGTTGGAATGAAACGTGTGGTACCTGCATCTTTGTATGACCTGCCAGTACATACGTTTCATTTATTATAGCATAAACATTGATTGCTAATCATGTTTTAGCATCAACTTGTTCCATTTGTTGTAGTAAAAAACATGGAACATGCAAAACTTACCAGAGGCTTCTTGTACCCCATTTTACTGGTCGCAAAACATCAGGAAAGTTTGTTTCAAGGACCGAACCTGCCACGGGGGTGCCCTTGCGGAGAAAAAGGGCTTCATTCCAATGGCTTTCCAAGGTTTTCTTCAGTGGATTCTGAAGTATTCATGGAGAGGGCTCACTTAGATAGCTTCTTGGTCACCTTTCATTTGTGCTATTTCACATTCATGTCTACCGCTTACTTATAGAGTGCATATGAGGGAACAAAGCTCAGTCTCTCTCGACTGTTACATTAGTAAGGCTGTGCAACAACAAAAAACAAGAAATGTGTACAACAGGGAAGAAGACTCACCCAGTGCAACCTTCAACTAAATCTACTGTGCCCCTCAATACGTTTATATATGATGCAGTATAGATTACTCATGCGTGTGCATGGATGAATTTAATTACTGCAAATGCATATACTATGAATAAAACAACAGGTAAGAGTTTGAAGATGTCGCTGCCAAGACAACAATTTCGTTGCTGGTGAGAGCCAATAAAAGTGAACTAAACCACCAATCACCCAGTTTCGCAATCATCTTTGCCTCAGTGACCTCACGATTCAGCTGCATTGTGCCATGGAATGTAGTCATGCACTCCACTCAAAAGTGGGAGGCTGTACAGCTCTGTTTAAGCACACTCAACGAACCCATTTCGGTGCAGCTTATGCACTTCTCTGGCGGTACGGCATTTGGATCTGTCAGGTTGCGTAGCTTTGCAAACATGTTGGAAGGCAGGAAACGTGGCCTTGGTATTTGCCCTCTGAGCTATTTTTTTTTTTTTTTCGAGATAAGGGATATCTTGTGCTTGTAGGGTACAACACCTACTTTGGGGCGCTTGCCGGCAGCGACATCAGCAACTGGCTTTTGTATGCTGGGTCGCACTTCTCTAAAAAACTAAGATGTCTAGATACATTGATTGCTTCCTTATATTTACCGACTGCCCTTCAGATCATTTTGTTTTGGAAGCAAGAAAAGCGACACAGTTAAAAAGTACCCATTTCCCCCCCCCCCCCCCAACTTATACATGAGCTGCTGGTGGAAGGTTTCTGCTGTACACGTCCGCACATTCCAAGCTTGTTAAGAGGGTCATTTTCAACGTATTTTAAGAATGCCCTCATTAAGTCTTGCTACCATGCGGAGAGTGCGAGCCTTGAGCAGCAAACTGAATGTTTGTCCCCGGCAGGATATCCCTAACTTGCTAAATGCGCTGTATTTCAGTGACAGTTGGCAATACCATATGCTCTTCCAAAGTGCAACAGGGAATCTTTGTGACCAGTAAAGAGTGTCAAGTTGCTGGAACCTTAACTTAGTTTATTTTGGGATCACTATAATATTGAAGCACAAAGTTATGATTGGCAGAATGTAGCACCTGTGGCTGAGTTTAGTGGGCTGTGCAACACTTTTTGAGCATGGTCAGAAAACGCAGCCAATCGGCAGTAGAGACTCCCGAGAACAGGCGAGCCACATGTTATAGCGCAGCACCCGGCCTGGAATTCAAAATAATTTATCAAAGTCAGCTAAATATTGCTTTCTTTTCTCTCGACAAATGACGGAACATGCTTAAAAAATCACTCGTAGAAAGCCATCTATCAGGCATTGGCTGATTTGAACACGGCACACTCAATCGTTACAGAGAGAATGCCGCGGCAGGCTGTGACTTGTCCACACGTGCGCTCACACAGAAAAAATGTGCATTTGAAGAAAAAAATAAATAAAAAGGTGCTTAAGGTCACGAGGCGTGCGTTAAGTATTTTTTTTTGCCCCTGCCATCCCTCCCTGCTTAACTTCCAGCGCTTTTGTCGGGACGAGAGAAGAGAATGTAATTGCAGCATACGACACATCTTTGTGACTCCTCTCGCACTGGATGAATTCTTAAAGTTTTGGCCTTGTTGAATTCGTGAGGCAATAAGCTCTTTCAGTGAATTTATTCCATGGTTACTTGAGAAAGTGTTTCAGGGCCCCTTTAAAGAAGATTAGAATTCTGTCAATCCATGGTGGAGCTACATTTGTTGCCATCAACTCTATTGCAACAAAGCAAACACAAAAAGAATTTTTTGACAACATCCACAAGCCTTTTATCACATCACTCACCTTTAACACCTTTTGCAGAGTCCCTTTAACATTGTTTTGTAAGTGCTCATGACAGTATTGCTTTTTCAGGTAAACACTATATCAAAGCAGCTCTTGCTTTGGGACTCCATTCTGACAAGCAAGCTTGAACAGCAGAACACGAAAACTGTGCCATCCGACTGACATGTTATGAAGAGAAGTGGTTCGGAAACAGGAATAAAATTTAATTTATTCTGCTGCATTATTGTGCAGTAAATAATGGTGTGGTTTATTTCTCATTTCTGAAACTATTTAACTACTGTGCATTTTCACCACTGTGAAATTTGAGGTGTATTAGGAAATGGATTTATTCTGGTCAAAATTTTGGTGTGAATTATTTAATCTAGCAGCAGCCTGACCACTTACATCATTTCAAGAATACATTTCAGGGGCCTTTTATATGTGGCAATGCAACTCTTAGCGACCTTCTGAATGACCTGTGAAAATACAAAGAACGAGCACATTATTCTGTCCGGGCATTTCCAGTCTATTTGGCATTATTTGCGATGTCAGCAGAACGTTCACGAGATGTCACGAGGAAACAAGCTCTCTAATGGTCCTTATTTTCTTCAGCAGCAGTGGCTACGTTTGCATAAGCAACCTACACTTGAGCCTCATTATGACGAGGTGGCATCTTATACGAAAATTAATTTGTTATAACCTGAAGTTCATGATAAAAGTGTATTTCTAACACTACATCTATTACAAGGTGATGTTTAATTTACTTCGTTATAACAAATATTTTGCTATATCTGGGTTCATTCTATTGAGGTTTGAGCGTGGATGTCTCTACATATAGTTAAAGAAAGAGCATGATACTGTTCAATAGATGAACTGAAACTTCTCTTAGTAAATATGTCTTGACTTAACCACAGCACGCAGCGTATGACTAGCTGATCACATTGGTGAAAGCACTACGGTGCTCAATGGGTCGTTTGATGTGCCATGTTCTAGAACCATCACAAGTATCACTTTTCTCAAAGTGAATACAACCAAAAACTAATTGCACATACATACGAGGCCTATGTTTTCATTCTTTTTATATCAAAATGAAACATGGCTGACCTGCAGAATAATCTAATATTTCATTACTAACTACCTAAATAAATTATTCACTGAAACTCGCACGAAACAGCAAATTGCTTTGATCTATTGGATGTAATAATGTCATACTCAGTGCCTTGGAACCATCCTATGCGAATTAGACAGATTCGCCAACAGTGCATTATAAGTGGCTTCTAAAGGGGATACACACGCAATATTTTTGCTAAATTTACTACTGTAGGAGGTCCGGATTCAGTATCCAACTATGGGACATCCTTCAGTATACACAAATTTTGTATTTGTTTGAAATAAAACCATTTCTTATTCTGATCACCTTCCTTGCTTTGCCATGCAATTGCGTGCCCTCTCTACCTTGTCTTGCATGACTAGCATGCACGGTCAACTGATTTCACTTCGTATGGAGCACTTTCAACAGCACAAATGGAGATAGTAATGTGTAGCCCATAACCACGAAATCCTGATAGGCTCAGCACCTAATGCTGAGATTGACAGAGTCTTTTACAAAGAAATAAGTTGCAAGGATGAGATAGTGCCTGTAGGAAGGGTAGTTAAGGCAAGAAGAAATCAACGCTCTTGTCTTTGAACTCTCCGTAGTTTAGTGGCCCTTTAAAACAAGTGTACAAGACCCCTTACAAATTGGTACATCAGGCCTTTGTGCCATTCATTGGCCTGCTTTTGTGACAAATCTTGTCAGTAAGACAATCATTTACCCTTGCTGGTATATACTGTGAATGATGCTCAGGACAATAACGAAAACAAAACACACTTTTATTATGCTTTGAACACTTCCCTGCAACACAGGCCAACAAATCTTATTTACACGTTCAATAAATAATGATGACTAGTGTATCTCAAAAGACAGCACCATCATCCAAATTGTCATCTTCGTCATCGCCGTAGCCTTCACCATTGTCAAAGTAGTTATTGATGTAGTCCGTCTCCTAAAAGCAAGAAAAAAAAAGTGTGAATGATCATTAATAAGCTAACCTGAAATTCCAAGGACAAACAGTTCAACACTTTCTGCTACATCATGTGACCAGCATAACATCGCGGAATGTGCATCTTCAAAGCAGACACACGGCCTTGTAAGTGGAACAAAACTTGGCCTTCCCTCAATTAAGTACATTATTGCTGTAAAAAAGAAGGGCTACAGCAACTGAAGTTCGTGGTTAGCCTTGCAAACAACTGTGTAATGCCAGTGCATTTCAGCGGACATTTCAGAGGCTGCCATCACAAGGCTTGTACCAGTCCTGACGATTTCAGCTAAATGTGCCCTACACAATAATACCCTCCTGTAATTTTCATTCTCGCTTTGACACTGAATAAAGTTCCTAGCCAGAATCCATGCATCTGTGTATGCCAAAACTTTTATTCGGATACTGAAATTTGCCATAAATCAAGAATTCAGCATCCATTAGTCATCATGAATGAGTGTGCCTGTCTAGAATGGTCACCCCACTGGCTGCAGTATGTCTATGCTTCAAGAGACAGTTGATGCATTAAAAACATACCACATTCCCAGCCTGTTTGAACATTTTCAAGCAAGAATGGCAGCTCAGAATAAATTATCATGGTATTATCGGTAGCTAAGGTACACATTTCTTACAGGGCCAGTCAACAGACACCGTCCTTTTTTTTACACCCTCCAAACAAACTCGGAAATTTCTAGAGTAGACTGCAGCGATCACATTTTCTGAATATTGCAGAACCTCCATTTCGAAAAACAATTTCCGCACTCCATTCCTACGCCTGACTAATGCTTCTTGACGACAACTCAGTGATCGGCGATATGATGCAACACGCAGCTGGTCGATTTGTCTAAACCACGTCTCAATAAACAGTAGTAAAGTCAATGACAGTTCCTGTTCCCACCCACAGCTACGACAGAGCTATTCAATCATACAAGTTGGGCAAATCCCCATAGGCTCCATGCATCGAAATCGGGACACGACACTGACCCAGCTTTTGGGAGTGAGCAGATTATCGCGCCACCTGTTCATCAGCACACCCACTATTAAATGCATTATTTGTGTTTTGTGTTGCTGCTCCCAGATGGCGTGACAGTCTGCTCCCAAAAAATCGAACTCCAAAAAAATTGGGCTAACTTCATGTTTGGGTTTGGGAACGCAGTTTTGCTGAAAATCATTGTCGGCTGCAAATTGAGCGACTGGGCTGCGGAGAATAATCGGCACCGGGTAAACAGTAAACAACCAGGCATCGCAGCAAGCGAAAGTGCATTGCGACTGATTGAGTTCGCGGATGACGTCGATTGCTGACGTCTTGTTACATTGCCAAAGTGGGCAGAGTCACGACCATGCGCCACACCTTCCCCTCCCTCTGAAGGAGCCCCGCCGCAGTGGTCTAGTGGCTAAGGTACTCGGCTGCTGACCCGCAGGTCAAGGGTTCGAATCCAGGCTGCGGCGGCTGCATTTCCGATGGAGGCGGATCGTAGGCCCGTGTGCTCAGATTTGGGTGCACGTTAAAGAACTCCAGGTGGTCGAAATTTCCGGAGCCCTCCACTACGGCGTCTCTCGTAATCATATGGTGGCTTTGGGACGTTAAACCCCACAAATCAATCAATCAATCGATCAGCAAAAAAAGACGTCAGCACTTATTTCACGATACCACAGCACGTGCTCTTGAAGACTCTGATGTTGAAAAAGGCAATTCTGGATCCTCTGATAAATAGCATAAACTCACTGCAAAAGCAGTCAGAACTAGCAGATGCTGCTGTAAATAAAAGCTTTTCTCTCTCTTTTTTTTTTCATTGAGTGCATTGCTACAACATATTTTAAGCAGCCAAAGTATTTTTTGGAGCTGCTCGCATTCACCCAGCACATTGCTACCAATGCTATTAAAGTAAATGCACGTGGGTGTTACGGGTGAAAAAACTTACAAGACTTCTGCTGAACCAATGCATAGTGGCGACTGAAATTTGTGATGCTGTGCTCGATATGTCTGAATCCTTCAAATAAATTCACCCACAATGTCACATAACAAAAAACAGACAACAACCAAAAAAAGGTGACACAGTTCATGTCATTGCCTTACTTTCATGCAATTCAGTTTGAAGAGCTTTGCTTTCACGGAATGCCATGAGCTTCCGAAATTCCAAGTTTGTGAGACTGAGTGGCGAGTGAGCAGATTTTCGTCGTGTGCGCTTAATGGCATGGTTTAGTAATCAGAATGCAGTAAAAGTGATAGACCACAAAAGTACAGCCTCTATTATGCAATACCATTTATATATATACACACAGCTGAATGCCAACGATGTGATCGGACAGTGATGCCATTACCTCTTCAAGCTCCTCCTCTTCGTCAAACTCCTCAGCCCCTTCTTCCTCTTCTTCATCATCTCCTTCTTTGGGCTTCTTCTCGCCAGGCTCATCTTCACCCTCACCACCGCTGTCACCTCCTCCAGCCTCTTTTTCTTCAAGTGCCTACAGCAAACCATGAAAGTATACCATTTTTTTTTTTTCAGTGCATTAAGATGAGCACCAACTGTCCCACTGGTAGTCAGTGCAGATTAAGATAACCAAATCGACTTTAAAAATATCAATGCACAGTATTTTGAATGTACAGTTCTTTCACAATGTCTCAAAAACAATACAATTGCTCCTAATACTTCAGCTTGACAGTCAAAAATTGCAAGGACCTGTATGAAGTAAATTAATTACCTTTTTTTTCTCACCCTCTCTGCAATTGATGTAATGAAGTTATGATGGTCACAATTCATTTTGCCATCCACCACTACGAGAAGTTATCCAGTGCTGCAGCTGATCACTGCCGAGGGTCCCATCGAAGCTGCTATGAGCTTGCAACGTTACATACACAACATGACAGAATGCACCGAAAATCTCATTTTGGGCAACTTCACGCTTAGCAATTGAAACACAATATTTTGAGTGCATGGCTGCCACTACTTTTTGTCCCAACGAGGGTGCACTGCAGGCCCAGGGCTTATGTTTTATAGCAAACAATTGATAAAACAATAGTAATCCTCGGGCTTTTATATTACAAAACCACAACGAAATTAAGAGAGATGCCATAGTACAGGGCTCTGGAAATTTCAACCACCTGCGGTTCTTTAATGTGAACCTAAATCTAAGAACATGAGCCTGAATTATTTTTGCCTCCATTAAAAATGCCGACGGCGCAATTGAAATTCGGTACTGCGATCGTGGGGTCGACAGTTCAAGTGCCACAAGCAGTGGACCACCGTGGCGTAAGCATAAGATTTAAAAAGGAGCTCTCATGAGGCATTGCAACTCCATTAGTTTGCCCTGGCACTCAGTGATGCAAAAAGTGCTGGCTCACTTCATTTGAATGGCGGATGGCAGTACAGTTGGTATCAGTACAGACAGCTGAATCTGTTCAATCATGTGTCAAATGAAAGAAATGGCAGAAATAATAGGCATATTTTTAAACCAAAATGCAGTCAAATAAAATTACCTCAATTAAATGTAAGAGCATCATACTGGCTCAGCAGTTTGGGTGTATGAACTCTTGACTGCCTACCTGTTGGGGCTAGCTGCATCAAAAGTTACGTGCTATTTCTGTGCACACCCCATCGCCCACCTTGGGATTTCTGGGCTTGCACGCTTGATATGCTAAAAAAAGTTTGCATCCACAGGCTACTGCTTCTTCAGTTTACTGCCACCATAGTTGGAGTGCCACACGACTGTGCATATAATAAATAAATAAATGAATAATGTACGCCCAAGAATGAATGGGACTTTTGTATACCTTCAGACGCAGCCAGTCGGCATTCGGTGTTTTCTCGCACTTGCTCACCGCAGTTCGAAGCTGCGACGTCAATGCGGGCTATCTATATTATTAGCACATAAAGTATAGTAAGCGACAGCACAATGATCTTTGTTTTGCTGTGCATGCATGCAGTCATCCAATCAGCTGTCTTGATACATAAACAAAGTTCCATGCATCACGTACTTGCAGCTTTTTCTGTATGTCGATTCCTGTTGCTATCGAGTCACCTCCTCCGAGAATACCAGCTGAGCTTTTCCGCTTTTTTGTCTTCTTGGAAATCTTCAGTTCCGCTGGGAAGTAGTCAAAATCTGCGCATAAGCAGTGTTCTGCGTAAGTGGCAGCTTCTAGTTTCTCCTAAATGTCTACTAGACATACTCCTGGAAGTAATACTCCATGAACTCCTACATTATCCACAGCAGTGGAGCTTTGCACAAGGAATAAAACGCACAAGTTTGCTCTTTTTGCGCGGATCCAGGAACAATAGGAGTTATATTTGGCGTTTACCGTCCCAAAACCACCATATGATTATGACAGACGCCGTAGCGGAGGGGCTCATTTCGACCATCTTGCGATCTTTATCGTGCACTGACATCGCACAATACGTGGGCCCCTACCACTTCGACTACATCGAACCCGCGACCTTCGGGTCAGCAGCTGAGCACCTAAACCACTGCTCCTACCGCGGCGGACAACAGAAGAAGTTTTACACACTCAGAGGTGGATATATGACCCCACATACACAGCACAATCACGAATGCACTCGGTAATCACGTCATGCGTGACGGCTCTGCACAGCTGGAAGATTAAATTACCGTAGATAACGTCAGGTGCTTTCACACGGTAACGGTCCGAGTATCTCTCCACCGTTTGTTGAGGCGTGCAGGGAAGAATGTTGAAACTGGACGCGAGCAAGTTCTTGCGCTGCTCGTGAAGCAGGACGGCCAGATATGTGTTCTCTTCCGAATTCACCAGAGGTGCCTGGGGAAAAGTCTAGCGGCTGCGAAAATCGAACCGTGAAAAAAAACGTGTCTCAGTCAGACGGGGTAGCATTCTATGAGCAGAAATGTGAAATGGTGAGTAAGAGAATACTTATCAGTAGCTACGATCAGAACGAGACAGTATGCAGCGAACTAGGGAATGTATGGTGACAAACATTCACCACTCACCGGGAATGTTGCTGTATGCACCACTCACCGGGAATGTTGGTGGCGGCTGCGCGCACAGAGTGAGCGCTGCTTCTTGCCTCGTCAAACCCAGCTGCTCCACATTAAATGACATCCCGCCACCGCGGCCGCGACCCCTCCCCCGTCCCGCCATGGTGGAAGAGAAATGCTATCCGAAACGTTGATCGATTGTGAGAGCGATACCTCGCGTTTTCACAAGCACTACGCGCACGTGGAAATGCGGATGAATCATGCGGATGATAGCCGGCGCGAGGCCACTAATATTTGGATACATGTACATGGCAATGCGTGTGAAAAATTAATCTTCATAAAAAAATAAATTTTAAAAGAAAAAAAAATATTTATGAAGACTCGTAACTTGTGTGTATTTTAATGTGACGCGCTTTGTGCTGTACTGTCGCAAATACGCTCCGGCGGCTCACGCGATCCAAACAATCATAGTACAAAACAACATGGCCGCGTCGTGTGCGTGATTTTCCAGCCAACATGACATCACCTACGAAGGTAACCGTTTGTAATACGAGCCGGTTTTATATTAGCGCCTTTGCTCATAGACGCGAAGTAAACCTCTGTGGCTGTCTTGTCCAATGCAAGCTAAGCTCTAATTTAAAGCGTTTCTTTCCACACATGCGTGATGTTTTTGGCGGTAATGCATATCTTAAAACCATTTTTGAATGTTGCTTAGACTCCTCTCAAGTTGCCTCGATGCACAAGCGAGAAACCTGTCATGCTGCCGAATTACTGACTGCTTGCACCTTCGATCTAACGTGTCCAAGTGCGGTGTTTCAATGGAACGCATATGAAACACCGCCCTTTTCGAGCACACCACTTTTCAAAGTTGCAAACGCCTTTTAAAATGCCAGACGCGCTCGCTATCAAACGCTGCGCACGAGATCTTGAGCAAAATTTAGCGTCACATTGTTAAGTGCATTTTTGCGCAAAACATGACACGTCGACGATAGAGGAAAATCACGAACTTTGTAAAATTGTCAGAGCACGCTTGGCCCGCTATATACTTTTTTTCTTTTCTGCAGTGTTCGGCCTCCTTGTCACACCAGTGAAATGTTAGAACGCTTGCGCGGTGCTCCATAGCAACGCCTCCTCATTGTCCATAGTTACCTCATTTTCGCGCGCTTCGTTCAGTATTCAAGCATTTTGTGCACGCATTGGTAGTACGTGCCGTTATTTTTTCGCCGCCCAGCTTGATTTCCCTAGACTTGTGGTGTTCGAACCAGCTAATGTTTCGCAGTGTTTGTGACCGCGCGCGCGTTTTGTATTTGCTTACAGTCCATCGAGGTGAAGCTGGAATTGGGTCATCGGGCCGTGCTGCGTGCGCGTCCCACGGCCGAGGGTTTCACCCACGATTGGACCGTTTTCGTGCGCGGACCCGAGGGCTGCAACATCCAGCACTTCGTCGACAAAGTCATCTTCATGCTGCACGAAAGTTTTCCCAAGCCCAAGCGAGGTACTGGCGCGCTTTTGGGGACATCTCACCACGTAGTACACCTCTCGTCTCTCGCACGTTTCAGCGGGTTGATGTGCACGTTAGCGTGCCCTAGTGTGTCAGTCCCAGTGTGTGTCAGATCCAGTGGCTTTATAAAAAAGGTTAAAAAAAAGAACTCATTTCAGGTCGCAGCAGTGAACACAAAAAAATGTTATCAGGTGGAAAAAAAGTTCCTCCACCTCGTTGTTGTATTTTTTTTACTTTTTCGTTAAAGAACGATTCTGCAAAAATTGCCGAGACTTAGCTTGTGTCATTAGCAGTGCTTCCGAATTAGCGTACCTCGAGGATAACTGCTCTGTGAATTGTGCCTAAGAGGTATCTGTGTTGTTAAAGGCACTTACGAATTAAGAAAATAACCAGTTACAAGCTAATGCAATGCATCAAGGGGTAAGGTGTGCCTGTGATAAACTGAGGTGGCTAATGAGGAAAGGGAATAAAAAAATGAAAGTGCAAGAATAGTGTTCTGCATTGGATAGGCTCATTTTAGTGGGTTTGGCTAAAAAGGAATGCAACACACTTTAGAGGATTATTAATACAACATTGCTTGCACATTATTATTTAATTTGTTTTTTCCGAAAGCACGATGCATGCAAGGATTTGTGTGGTGCTAATGCTTCAACATTGAGAACAGAATGCACTTTCATTGGATAAAGAAAGTGCAAATAACTCTGCTTCTTTCTTTGAAAGAGATGTTAGTGTAGTTGACATTCTTCACATGTAGAAAGCGTGCACATTTTTACAATGCAGTGCTAAAGGAGCCACCCTACCAAGTGTCGGAGAGCGGCTATGCGGGCTTTAACATGCCTGTGGAGGTGTACTTCCGCACCCGAGAGGACCCCAAGAAGGTTACGTTTGTCTATGACCTGTACCTCTCCGTGGACGGCACTCCAATCTCCAACATACGCTGCGAAAAGCTCACCTTCCACAACCCACCCGACGACTTCTGTCACAAGCTCCTCAAGGCAGGAGGGGTGAGTGCTGTCAAAGAGCTCTTGACGTTGCCACTCAGTGCCGTCCTTGGAAGAACACAAATGCATTCTTTTGGGATTAGAGTACAGTTAGGATTCTTTTTCTCTTTCTCTTTGTTTTATGAACGACTTTAATTAAGGAAGGTGTTTGCTCGAAAATTTCTACTTTGTGATATATTTGCAGTTAGTTGCGTCACAAGATGTACAATTACCTAATTCAATTTTCAGTTTGGACAATGAGTGTCTTCCTGTCTGGAGCTGTGGGACGTCTGTTGAGTTTGCGTGCAGGAAGTGAGTGAAAGGTGTGTGAAGCGTGCATTGACAGCTTGTCATTTCAGCTGTCGCACACATTGCTTATCACATTTTATATTATAACATGCGTCAGCTTTCCTGGATATGAGAGCCTACATAAGGTAGCTACGAAGCCTTCCTCTCTCTGTATGACATGGCCAGGGTCAAGTCGGTCATCCCGAAAGGCTAAAGATGGGGTTCACCATGGCTTAACATGCCCTGTAACATAGCCATTATAGATGTAAGACAGCTGAACTACAAGACGTAATTGTCTAAATATTTACATTCGCAAATGTAAAGATAGAATAAACGTAAAAAATGAACTGAATAAAACCCCAGCTGGTCAAAATTTTCAGAGCTCTCCGCTATGGCCTCTCTCCTAATCATAGGGTGGTTTTGGGATGTTAAACCCCAACAATTAAATAATTAATATTCGTCATTCTTTCTAAGCACCAAACCCCAACCAGCATTGTTCTTCATTTATTATTGTTCTAAGAGCCCTGTCAAGCTATCAAATGTCATAACAAGTCCATCCATAATCATTTATATTGTTACGTAAAAATGACACGAGGCCTGTCTATTTAAAATCTATATTCAAACTGATGCGTATGGCGTCAACTAAGATGGAAGACAGCACGCACAACCGACAGACCACTTTCTCGTTGTCATCTTCTGACCGCTTATACGTCAGCTACGTAGCATTACCCCCCGCGGTAAAAGCTCCGTCTCGGTGCACATTAACTACGGTGTTCAGTAGGCAGGTGGTAAGGTTTTAGCCTGCTGACGTGCACAACATCACTGGGTGTGGTTGCAGGCAGGCTTGTGGTCTCAGATGCAGGAATGATCTCATAGGTGACGTCGGTTACCTGGCGGATGATACGGTAAGGACCCATGTAGCGAGACAACAACTTCTCTGATAAGCCGACTCGACGAACTGGGCACCACAGGAGAACAAGAGAACCGGGTGAGAAGTGAATGTTAGCATGCCGGCTGTCATAGAGGGCTTTCTGGGTGGCTTGCGAAGCCGAAAGTCTAGAGCGGGCTATCTGACGTGTGTGGTCGGCACGAGCAATAGCGTCGCGTGCCTATTCGGTTGACGGCGTTGTAGTGGTTGGAAGTAGGGTGCCGAGTGGTAACTTCGGATCATGGCCATAAAGCAAATAAAAGGGTGAATAACCAGTAGTGTCGTGGCGCGAAGAATTGTACGCGAAGGTCACGTGAGGTAGCTCCAGGTCCCAGTCATGGTGGTCGAAGGACACATACATCGCGAGCATGTCCGTTAGGGTCCGATTTAGCCGTTCGGTAAGGCCATTTGTTTGGGGACGGTAGGAAGTGGTCAGCTTGTGGTGCGTCGAGGAAGAGCGCAGAAGATCGCCGATCACACAGGACAAAAATGCGCGGCCACGATCCGTGAGTAATTGGCAAGGAGCGCCACGGTGTAGGATGACGTCGTGGAGCAAAAAGTCCGCAACGTCAGTAGCGGTGCTGGTGGGGAGCGCTCGAGTGATGGCATACCTAGTCGCGTAGTCTATAGCAATGGCGACCCCCGATTTCGACTCGGGAAAAGGACCGAGAAGATCTATACCAACACGGAAGAAAGGTTCGGTTGGGATGGAGATCGGTTGAAGAAGTCCAGCCGGGGGCGCAGTAGGTCGCTTCCTACGTTGGCATTTATTGCTGGAGGACATGTAATGGCGAACGGACCGGGCGAGACCGCGCCAAAAAAAGCGGCGCCGCACGCGGTCGTACGTCCGAGATACACCCAGATGACCGGCAGTTGGTTCATCGTGAAGCTCGTGCAGCACGGTTGAACGCAAATTTTTCGGCACGACAAGAAGGAGCTCAGCGCCATCTGGCTGGAGGCTACGACGGTACAGCGTGCCATTCAGGAGGACGTACATGCGAAGTGACGTGTCGTTCGGAGCAGATTCGAGACGGTCAACGAGTTGTCGCAGAGAAGCATCACGACGTTGTTCATCACCAATCTGAAGAAACGGGGCATTGACATGACGCTGAGGCTAGGCTCGATGTCTGGTTCGTCGGGACTGATTGTCGGACTGAACAGGGTAGCGGGATAAGCAATCGGCGTCCAGATGGAGATGTCCAGACTTATACGCAACTGAGTAGGAATACTCCTGTAGGCGTAATGCCCAACGACCAAGTCGTCCAGTGGGGTTCTTCAGAGAAGAAAGCCAACACAGCGCGGGATGATCTGTGATGACACGGAAAGGGTGGCCATACAAGTAAGGACGGAATTTCGAAACCGCCCAAACAAGAGCGAGACATTCCCATTCTGTTATAGAATAATTGCGTTCAGACTTAGAAAGCAGACGGCTTGCGTACGCGATTACACGGTCGTTGCCCCGCTGAATTTGCGCCAGAACTGCACCAATTCCGTGACCACTCGCGTTTGTTCGCACTTCTGTAGGAGCATCGGGGTCGAAATGTGCAAGAATAGGAGGTGTCGTTAGAGCGGTGATTAGCTGAGAGAAGGCGTCAGCTTGAGGAGAGCCCCAAGAAAATGGGACGTGTTGTTTGAGAAGGTCGGTGAGTGGCCGTGTGAGTGCCGCAAAGTTTTTCACGAACCGGCGAAAGTAGGAGCAGAGGCCCACAAAGCTGTGAACATCATGGACAGAGTGTGGGACTGGGAAGTTTGTTACAGCGCGTACTTTCGCCGGATCTGGCCGTACGCCGGCAGCGTCAACAAGGTGACTCAATACGGTAATCTGATGAAGACCGAAGTGGCACTTGGAGGAATTGAGCTGCAGGCCGGCTCGTCGAAATATGGATAGAATGGTCGAAAGGCGTTCAAGGTGGGTTGCAAGGGTAGGTGAGAAAATGATCACGTCGTCCAGGTAACACAAACATGTCGACCATTTAAATCCTTGTAGGAGCGTGTCCATCATTCTCTCGAAGGTTGCTGGAGCGTTGCAGAGCCCGAATGGCATGACTTTGAATTGGTAAAGACCATTGGGGGTAACGAAGGCGGTCTTTTCTCGGTACATGTCATCTACAGCTATTTGCCAGTAGCCAGATCGGAGGTCGAGAGATGAAAAAAAAGGTGGCGCCATGAAGGCAATCAAGGGCATCGTCAATGCGGGGTACAGGGTACACGTCTTTTTTGGTAATTTTGTTGAGGTGGCAATAATCAACGCAGAAACGCCATGAGCCATCTTTATTTTTTACTGATACCACGGGAGATGCCCAAGGGCTCGTTGATGGTTCGATTACATTTTTCGTAAGCATTTTGGCCACTTCTTTCTGAATCACTTCTCGCTCGGACGCTGACACGCGGTACGGCCGACGGTGAATGGGCGCAGAGTCACCAGTGTTGATTCGGTGAGTGACAATTTTAGTCTGGCCCAAGGGACGATCGTCGGTGTCGAAAATGTCACTGTATGAGGCCAAAATTTGGCAGAGAGCGTCGGCCTGGTAAGGCGACAGCTCTGATCCAATCATGTTTCGAAAAATACCATCGTCTGAGTTGGGTGACCGTGAGACTGCGCTTCGATCAAGAGCAGATACAGTGACAACACTGACATCGTCCTCTGTTATGGCAGTTAGCTGGGCTAGAGACATCTGGCAGGGCAACACATGAGGGGTGAAACCAAAGTTAAGGAGCAGAAGTAACACACAGTATCCGCTATGGTCGCGATAGTATAGGGCACAGTAACACTGCGCGTCAGCCGAACGTCAGTAATTGGCGTAACGATATAATCACCGTCGGGAACGGGAGGGGTCGATGACAAAGACATGTACGTGACGGCTCGAGGTGGCAGGCGAACAAAAGTGGTTGGGCTCAAGCGGCTGGTGGGCTTTGCAGAATAGTCGGCAAAGATTGGTAGATCGAGGCTGAGGGTACCAGACGAACAATCAATTAAGGCCGAGTGTGCTGAAAGGAAATCAAGGCCAAGTATGAGGTCATGAGGGCAGCAGGCTAGCACGGCAAAAAGGACCACGGCGTGACGACCGGCAATGCTGACACGAGCAGTGCACATTCCGATTACTGGTACAGTACTGTCATCGGCAACACGTATTGCCTGCGTCGTAGATGGCGTCATAATCTTTTGTAAGCGGCATAGAGAAGCGCTCATAATAGACAGGTGCGCACCTGTGTCAATGAGGGCGGTCACAGGAACATGGTCGACTTGTACTTCAAGCAGGCTATGGTGCGTGGGAAGCGTCAGTAGAGGATTTTCGGCCGTCATTGGTATTGCAGCTTCACCTCTATAAGCTGCAATATCTAGTTTTCCTGCTGCGGTTGTCCAGAGAAGCTCGGCGAGGAAAAGCGCCAAGGTGGCGGAGAGCGGGATTGGCGACGTAGCGGCGACGGGGAGCGAGAGCTGCGGCGACCGGACGAAGGGGCGTCAGGGTAGCGGCGACCGGGCAAAGGGGCGTCAGTGGAAGGCTCGTAAGATCGACGAATAGAAATTGAGGGGTGCGGTGACTGAACGTCGAGGGGTCATCGGATGCATGAGCACCGAGGTAGAGAAAGTCTGACGTGGTTGGTTTGACTAACGGCGGCAGCAATAGCGAGAAACGTGCCCAGGCTGGTAACAGGAAACACAAATAGACCGGTCGTCGGGTGTTCGCCATTCCCAAGGGTTATGGAAGGGCATTGTTGGAGGTGAACGGCGAGTGTGTCCTCGGGAGTAGGACGGGACTTCAGGGGGAGTCAAGGGACATGCTGATAGAAGGCCGAGGTTCGCAAACTCCTGCCTCACCACAGCTTGTATTAACGCCACTGATGGCTGTTGTTGGTCAGAGGCGAGCGTTGCGAAAACGGGTGGCTGAAGAGGAGCAGGACAGGCGGCTTCGATTTCCCGACTAACAATGCGTGTGACGTCATACGTGGGGGACTGGCGGGCGGCTTCACACGATGAGGTCGCGGCCGTGTTGGGCAGCCGGGTGAATCACTGAGTAATACGGCGGCTCTTGGCTTCTTCGAACCACCGGCACTCTTTAATGATGGCGTCAACGGTGGCAACGTTGTTGTAAACTAGAAGATTAAATGCGTCGTCCGCTATGCCTTTCAGCACATGGGCCACTTTCTCAGACTCACTCATGTGCTCGTCAATCTGGCGGCATAGGGCGATGACAACGTGAATGTACGCGACGTACAACTCCGTCGACGTTTGTGCACAAGCCGCCAGTTGATTCCGTGCGGCGATCTGCCACCCAACGGTGTCGCCAAAAAGGTCGCGGATCTTCTCTTTAAAGAAGTCCCAGCTCTTAATCTCCGCTTCGTGCATCTCGAACCACACTCGCGGTGGGCCATCGAGGTAAAAAAGCACATTGGCAAGCATAAGAGTCGGGTCCCACCTATAGCTTGCGCTGACCCGTTCGTACCGGTTGATCTATTTGTCGACGTCAACGCCATCCTGACCGGAAAATACACCGGGATCACGAGCAGGAAGTAGAATAATGTATGTAGAAGTCACGGTAGGGACAGGTGGCGAAGGCGATGGTTGTTCAGCCTGTGACATGGTTGGACCTATGATGATGCGGCCGTTGCGGAGCTTCGTGATGAAGACGGGGAAGTACCCAGCACGTCCACCACAAAGATGTTACGTAAAAATGACACGAGGCGTGTCTATTTAAAATCTATATTCAAACTGATGCATATGGCGTCGACTAAGATGGAAGACAGCACGCACAACCGACAGACCACTTCCTCGTTGTCGTCTTCTGACCGCTAATACGTCAGCTTACGTAGCAAGATAACACTAGAGCAATGCAAACGGCTTGTATGCATATTTGTACACATAAGGACAAGCAGTATGAATGGATTTCCCACATTACAACACTCTTACAGGCATGTCAAGTGGCAGCACAATAGTGAGGATAAGCACTACAGTCAGTGAATAATAATATACTCTAGAAAGCACTTCACTTACTCCATGACATTTCTGAGCCTTCAGGAAAATAGGTAGCTAGTGAGGATTGCTATTGGGCTTGTGTTTAGGCTGTTAGAAAGCATCAGAGAGAGCATAGCTGGCAAATTAACTGTAAGGGCCCGTGGCTAAAATGAACAGCAGCACTAGCACAGCTGCTGCTTCACTCTCACTGAGTACAACTTTTGCACTCACCGAGCTGAACTACCTCTGTTCACCAAACAAACGTCATTTGTGATGGCAAGTTTGCAGATCATGGGGACACCTTACAATTCTGTATTTCTTCATTCAGTGTGTCTGCATATATTCTCGCAAGTTTGTGAAAGGTTGTTAGTAAACTAGCTTTTACTTGTGTTCTGTGCTCTCCTCTACACACCAGATCAATAGTTTCAGGAAATAGACCGTTGGAGTTTTTTTTTTTTTTTCTCTCCTTATTCTTTACCATTATGCTTGTATGCTGACCTGCATACTTATATCAACAATAAAGTTCTACTATTTGTAGATTTCACTGCATGTTCAGTGCATTTGGAAACTGCTGTGTACTGCAGTGTCTACAAAGGTCTGCAGCATTTGTAATGAAAGAAAATACTTTATTGTGTATATTTGTCTTCAGGTTTTCTTTGATGTACAGCGGAGTTGGCATTTTTATGTAACTGATAAAAGAAGTGCTGCATAGCTGTGCTGTAGAAAGAAAAGATGGCTTTCTTAACAGGCATCTTCTTTCCCTGCAAGCATGAACTATTAGCTTCAAATGAAACCTGAGCACAGGCAAGCCTTCACAGCGGTATAGTGCACACCATCCACTTATCACCACAGACAGGTACGCATATATGCACAGAGCTGCCGTACAGGATGCGCGCGCCTTTCAATGGTGATGACTGGATGGCGCGCACTACTCCATCGCGAAGGCTGGCCGCTGTTTGGCTTTCACTTCACGCTGATAGTACATCTGGTCAGGAGGAAGCTGCTAACATTGCGGTTTATTGCACTTTCCAGACGGAGGCTAACCGTGCCGGCTCGAACACGTCACCGGCACCTCCTGGCAGCCCCTCACGCAATGCAGCCCCGCCAGCACGGTCAAGAAGCGAAGGCCGCAAGAAGCCACGCATGTCAAGCGTACGTCCATCTCATTACTTTGTGCCAGTGGTGAAAGCAACACGGCTATAGTAGTATGAAAATTGTCAGATTTCTGGAGAAAAAAAATTCTGCAATTTAATTTTCAACTTTCTGGATGGCAGTATAGATTTCAAAGCTATTCCCTTTTTTTTTTTTCAATTATTTATTTGCTCTTCATACATCGGAACAAAATCTGTTGGGCCACTAGCCAAAGACTAGTGGATGCCCATAGTCAAGCCATTTTTATCAGCAGCTACAATGAGAAAAAAAAGTGCATACACTCGTAGCACTTTGAGAAATAACTGCGACATGCAAATAATACAACTGATATGAACTGTGTAGTATATTACACCATACAGTCACACTTAGTTGCAATGAAAGTAAAGGAAGAGCCAAAATTAGTTACATCCATTACTTCTTTGTAACTACTATTATTGCACTTTACTGCAATATGTTGCTAATCAGGTGCAATACTTTTTTATTTTTTTATTTGTTGAATCATACAATACATAGGATCATCAGACTGCTTGGACCCGTAGCCAATGGCTAGTCCTGGGTCCAAAAAGAAAATTTATGTAGTGATGCAGGCTTTCTGTTACATAAAAAAGAAACTAACACTCCAAAACACAGGGTGTTGTACAGTACTAGTACAAGCATTTTTTAGCGTGCGATCTTCACTCCCAACGACAATGAAATCTATAATCGCGATAGTGTCAAAAGGTGTACCAACACAGGCAAATCACTAAAGTGTACATAATAACATAAACAAGACAACTCAAAGACATGTTAAGTAGCCAACAATACCAGTATCCATATTCCCAAATGCAATACAAATATAACATTCGTTGCAAGGCCACAACAAGATTCACAATCCAGAACAGCGGCACGCATTTTGAAAAACGCACACATCAAATAACCATCCAGCTCGTATGATATTTCTGTGACTGCAACGCGACATGCCAGGAAACAAAAAAATTGCAAAGTTAGCTCGCATCATTCAAGCTTAGATTAAAAATTTTTATAGAAGTGTTAAAATTTTGGGCTTTCTTATTTCAGGCGGCAAGCTGTTCCATATTTTTCGCTCCTATAAACGGCAACTGACGCTCTCCATACGCGTTGTTTGTGGGGGGCAGATTGAAATTAAGACGCAGCGTTTCTAGTGGGCCGAGAAGTAGTGTAGAGCAAGGATGCATCCAAAGGGTTGTTGTGCCGTATGATATTATTTACACAGCAGGCTGTCTTTGCTTCACGCAATGCATCAAAAGGTAAAATTTGCATATCGTTAGACAGTGGTTTACTCGCATGATCATGCTTATAGTATGTTATTGTTTTTAGAGATCGTTTCTGTAATATTCGAATAAGTTCTAGGTAAGTCTTATAAGTCCATCTCCAAGATTCAATGCAGTATGTAATTTGAAAGTGAAAGAATGCGAAGTATAATGTTTGTAAAATGTCTCTATCGAAGTAGTTACTGGCCTGCAGTAAAGCAGAACATCCGGACGCCAATCTAATACAAACTTCTGTTATGAGGTTTTGCCAGTTTGGCAAAACCTCATAACATCATAAACCTCAAAACCTCATAAGTGGTTATCGAAGTGAACGCCAAGGTACTTGTAACAGGTTGCATGAAGAAGAGAGTGGTTGTCGATAGCTATATTGATGGAGTTAATATTTACGGTCTTGTTACGAGAGCGAAAAATTGTATATTTAGTTTTCTTGGTATTAATTGTTAATTTGTTGGCACAAAACCATTTGAAAATTCTTGATAACTCCCAGTTTATTTTAGATTCAACTTCCTTGATATTGTTACCTGTAATAATTATGGCTGTGTCATCAGCGTACATCAGAACGTCAGAGCAATGTAAGGATAATGGCAGATCGTTCATATACATGGAGAAGAATAAGGGCCCAAGGACGGATCCCTGTGGATTCCAGTTCCTATACGTTGAGGCAAAGAACATATATTGTTAATGCGAACTATCTGGTACCGGTCGTGAAAATAACTTGAGAATAGGTCGAAAGATGTACCTCTAAAACCGTAGTGCTTCAATTTGCCTAAGAGTATGGAGTGATCTATGGTGTCGAATGCTTCTTTTAGGTCTAAGTACACGACAGCCACCAGTTTGTTGTTTAGGGCACAGTTAATAGCTTGTGTTAAAGACAGCACCGCGGTTGATGTTGAGCGCTCGGAACGAAAACCGTGCTGTATGTGGTATTTATCTAGGAATTTATGTATTCGGGCTGCAAGAATTTTCTCATGTAGATTGTTAAGGACGCTTAGCACGGATATTGGCCGATAACTAGATAAGTCAGTGGGCTCTCCGGCTTTGTAGATTGGTGCAAACCTAGTTTTTTTTTTAGAGAACATGGTATGTAGAGGCATGCAGAGAATGATTGAAAATATTACATAAGATAGGGCACAGGATATCTATGTTTTTCTTAAGAAACTGCACCGTCATTCGGTCTAGTCCGGCAGCCTTATTCGTAGACATATTTAGTACAACAGCTTCAATATCGTACATATAGAAAGTGTTGGTTAAAGGGTGTCCCTTGAAGCAGTACTCAGTCGAATTGTCAAATTTTGCTGTCAAGGCAGGGCCGATGCTCGTGAAATATAGATTAACCCTGTCAACAATACTTGCGTCTATGCAGTCGGGAAGAACCTGCTGTTTTGGGTTGTTGCCAGTAACTTCTTTTACTATTTCCCATATTTCTTTAGTATTACCATTTGTGTGCTGTATAAGACGGCTATAATATTCTTTTTTGCGTATTCTAATATCCGACACTGATTTATTATGCATCATTTTGTAATTACGCTGGTAATACCCATTGAGTTTATTCTTCTTTCATTTATGATACCAGTAGTCTTTTTGTTTTAGGATGGAGAGGATGTAATCAGTCATCTATGGGCACAGTGGTTCCTGGTAAGACCTAGTAGATATGGTTTTGCTACTGTTGACTATGATGCTAGTAAGATTGTCAATCAAGTTACATAATTCTACGTTAATGTCGTCGTTGTATATTAAATTAGTGTCTAATGACAAAAGCTTGTTCCGTGCTAAAGCATAGTCGATTCTAGTTGAAGGTTCTGTTTTCTGTGGCTTTGGTTGGGTCAGATCTTTGATAGTCACGGAGATAGGAAGGTGATCAGAAATGGGCACATCATACACATCAGCCTTGGCATGTGAGGGTACATTTGATTTACTTGTAATTGGTACAATTTTTCAGTTCATCCACACTATGATTTGAGGGTTGCAGACTTGCAGTTAACTCTTATGCAAGAAGTGATTGCAGTAAAAAAGGGCTATTTTGACTCATTCAGTCAGTGAATATTATAGGCTTTGTGAAAACTCGGTCAGGGATTCATCGCTGTGAAGTTTTAACATAGTACACTCATACCTCTGTACAACAAACTCGGATATAACAAAATATAGGTTTTAACGAAGTAACTAAAAGATAGTCTTGTAATATATCTGTTGGCAATGTACCTTTATAACATATTTTTGGATATAACAAACCTCTTTCATGCTAGATGCATTTTTGTTTTTAATGAGGTTTGAGTGTGCATTGAACAGCTATGTGTGTTAATAAGGCTTTGCTGTAAATGGAATATATAGCATAAGTTATTCATTATTAGCTTGAATATTATTTTTATTTTATTTTTATTTTATTTATCGTGAATACATTGAAAGGCTGACGACAAAAGCTGCATACAAGCAGCTTGACAGGCCCGTCAGCCCAATTCAAACGTCAGCAGCAGACGGCAGATATGCATGCTGTAGAAATTTACATTAATGGACACAACACACCAAAGTATCGCAATTCTATTGCAATAACAAAAATATGCTAGTAAAAAATATATGCACGCTAACAACTAAACAAAGAAACGATATTGTATTCGAAAAACATGGGAACGCTACAAACAAGAAAAAGAGAAACGACGAGGCAATACTGAAACATACAAAAGTGCAAATAGTGTCAATTTACAAAAAAAGATGCACCGGTAAAAGAAAGACTGATAATAAAAAGTATACATATGAGCTACTGCGCACAACAGAACAGGAATAAGCGCTTCAAAAAAAAAAAAATTCAAAACTTGTCTTAATATTTACCATTGATGATGACTCGGAACATTCGAGTAAACATATCTCTAATGGTATGTACTTTCAATAAGGAAATATTCTACTCTTGTTTGAAATTTTTGCTTTTAGTGCACCCAAAATTAGTTCATAAGGCATATTACCTAACAGTGAGATATTACCAGCCGTAGAAAGTATCTCTAACAAAGAAGTGGGAGAGTAGCTACCTTGCTTCATCACCTTCATCTACCTGTTTTTTAACGTCAATTCTAAATGCCCCCTTTTTATCACAGTTAGTAGAGCATAAGATTCCAGAACAGTTAGCATGATACTAAAATACATGCATGATACTAAATACAATACATAAAGCATGATACTAAAACAAAGTGTGTGCTATTTGTTTAAAGTTTGAGATATCATTGAGAACAGTACCAACACATTTAACCACTGAGGACCGTTTGATTTGTTGTTTTGCATTTTGTAGGCGTCACTATCTTTTCATGGTGAATCTAAATATAATCGACAGAATGGCATTTTTTGAGTGCCCATGGTTGGCAGTTTGTTTGTGCTTCAGCCTTCCTTTATTGTAAATGTTTATTTCGTGTTGGGGAATCATGAGCTCATTCTGTAGGAAGGCGCAAGCTTTAGCAAATCGCCTACCCGTAATCCACTCGCTTGTTTCTGTGTGTTCTTCTCCCAAAAGCACATAAACTGAGCCTTCGGTACTGTGAGGCACATAAATCCTCATGGAGAGCTGAATTGCCGCAGCGAACGCAGTTTTGTGAGTCATGCACCTAGTGAGTGGAAAGTTTCAATGATACTGAATGACGTTGATTGACTTATGCACATCTGATTTTGCAGGTGTTGTAAATCTCCGCATGTTCTTATTTTCCTTGCGGCAGACACACTTCTTAGATTGTT